GTTACAGACTTATTGAGTCCCCGTATTCTTGGGTTCCGGAGTTCTTGGCTCTCGGAATGCTTGAGTCACCGAATTCTTAAGTCCTGAATTTCTGTAGCTATGGAATTCTAGAGTTATGGACACAACTCGAGTCCTAGAATTCTTGAGTTCTTCTACCCTGGAGTTCTCGATTCTTTGAATTCCAATATGTTTCAAAACCCCTGTAAGACACTCGAGACTCTTGAAAGAAATCTTTTTTTAATCGTTGGATACGCTTCCTGGTCTCCATCGAGCGAAGTACATACATACATACATACATACATGCGGCAGATCGATAAATCCACGGCACGTGCACCTGTCGATCGATACGTTCCGCGAGCCTGTCGATTACAGCCTAAAATAAGACCACGGGAATCACCGGTGACACTGGCGGAATTACCGCGCACGCGTACAGGAATAATTCGATATTACCCGGAGTGAATTCTCGACGAAACTCGCAGTGAGTAGAAGAGAGAATCATAGGGGTGACGGGGTTTCGTTCGAGTCGTCGAGGAAAGATTCAAAATTTTTCCATGTAATCGTCTTTTCTGTTCGCTAGTGAATTGGAGAGAGAGACCCCGAGGCTGCATGATTCTTTCCGCGGTCACACGGCCGCCGATATATATGTAGGTCGATAGGTCGATATACTCATGGCTACACTTTAACGTTTCATCAGGGAAAAACCGTGCAGAACCGTGACAAAATGTTGGCCAGCCAACAAGCACACCAGGGAATCCGTACACATCCTGGCGTACACAGATCTCCCTCCAGCCGTCGAGGCGATCGTTATACATCGCGATCCAAAGATCGAAAATGGACTCCAAAAAAAAAAAAATTGTCTTTCAAAAATGTCGATAATCAACGAGGATATTGTTATGCGTGTTTAGTTCACGATACTCGTTGCGGCCCGACACGAGGGCAACACTTCAATTATTCAGAGCTCTCGGTAGACCTTTCGAGCTGCCAGCCGTAGGGCTAACTTGTAGCTAGTCCCCACCCGATTAATGGATTGGACATGATTTTGCATCGTACTGTTCCATACTTTTGCAATGTAGTTTAGAAGTAGATAGTAAGCTAAACTGAAAGAAGCTATGTAATATAACCGATCGGTTAATTCGAAGTACTCTAAAAGACCTAAAGCACGATCCCCTAACTCTGCACACCCAGCTCAATCCATGATTAATGGAATAAAAATGATACTATATTGTTCTATACTTTACGATGTAGTCTAGAAGTTGACAGTAAGATCAAGTAAAGGAAACCAGGTAATATGACTTGGTAGATCGGTTAATTGGAAGTACCCTAAAAGACCTATTCCCTAACCACGCAGACCCAACACGATCGGTCGGTCCATCCGTGGGGTCGGACATTAACAGCGGAAATCTAGGGATTTTCGTGAAAGGGTGACGATCACTAACGTGCACACACACACACACCGGGCCGATTTCCACGTGCGTAATTAGTTTTGACGGGGGTATCGATCGGTCGCGGGGCCGGTTTCGTCAGCGCGCGCGGGTAAGTGTCAAAGGTTGAGTACACTTCCTTGCAAGTGAGTCTAGGTCAACCGTATTGGGTCGATACTATGAAAGCAGGACAAAGAGGAGGACGGAGAGCGGCGGTGCGAGGGAGAAAGAGAAGGGGAGAGAGATGGGGAATAGAGAGAAAGAGGAGGATGAGGAGGAGGGTGGGAGAGAGAGAGAGAGAGAGAGAGAGAAAGAGCCTTCGATGTATTTCAGGACAAAGCGAATCGGGGAGCGACGGCGTGCGCCCATAGCGTCCCGTAAGAGGGGATAGTGAGACCACCCGATCCGGAGGAGGAGAGGCGGGGACTTTATATGCACGATTATTAGCTGCTTTGGCCTCGAAGGTTCGTCGTCTTTCGGTTTTAAACAAAATAAATACTGTTGTTGTAATCGACGAGCGGAAGAGAACCATTCCGCCGCCTCGGGCGGAAGATAACCGCCGGCGATTAAAAGGGAACGAGAGGGGCGGCTCTTTTATAGGGGTTGCGATACTTAACGCGAGGAAATCCAACCTTTATCGTCAATGGTTTTTTCTTTCATGGCCTTTTTATAAGCAAACTGACTCCTGATCCACTTTAGGTATCGGTGTTGTGCTCTACACATTGAAGAACCAACAGAAAAATTGGCTACATTATCGTCATTTTTGTCTATCGTGAAACCAAATCTACAGAACTGTCGAGCAAACTCTTTCAACTGCTTTATTTTCCCTAGAAATCTCAAAAATGGGTACCCAACCTTCGTCACATGGCACATACACAAAACCATTTGAACGGATCTTCCAACCCGAAAACAACCGAATTCCGTGAATGTTCCCGCCTACAACCAAGTCCGACGTAACTGGCCAAGTGACGGGGGAACAAAGAAAGATCAAGAGACCGAACACACGTAACCTTGTAACGCCACCATTTTGTCTCGAATTCTTTCGTTCGTGTACGGCGTTCGAGGGGTTTTCCACGGAATTTTCTAAGCGATAAAAGGCTCGTTAGAGGGTGGCTACGTATCGAGGTGTGCGAGCGAGAAAACTGATTAGAGTGACCCAGTTTCCACGGGAGGGGGGTTGGAGGACCCCACGAAGGGACCGAGGCGGCTCGTGTCCGACTAATGGCGACCCTGTCTACTGCGGCGAACCACACCATGCGGAACTGGGCCCCTCTCGTCAACCTTCTGGAGAACGCTAGCACGTCTCCGGGACCGTTGTAACCCGAGATGGCGAGCCTGAGAAAATAAATATTCCCGGCGAGGAAGCGAATGCTAGAGAGGTAGAGTTAGAGAGAGAGAGAGAGCCGTGGTCTGTTCCGTTTAATTTCGGTCCCTCCCCTCAGCCTTCCCCCTCGATGTAACCCGACCCCGAGTCTGGCTTCCGTTTACCACCGAATCACCGTGGGCTCCGTTGTAACAACATTCACCTCCCCCTTCCCCCCGTTTCCCCTTCGTGTTTTTACGTAACCACCCCGCGAGGAGATTCGAGGAACCGGACGAGGAAGATCCTCGTGCAACACCGGTTCAGGGGAGGGCGATTCCTATCGTGAAAAGATACATGTTCCCTCCCCCAGCTTCCTTACGATCTCAGAGACATCGAGCCTACGTGTGTTATCTTTTTGAACCTTCACAAGCTTCATTAGTCATTCGTGTTTACGGACGTTAGTCCCTCCCTCGTAACATTATAGGGGCAAAGTGGTGCATCGTAGAATGGTAATGAGCAGACAGGTTGGCAGAGACTTCTGAGGGTACCAGACGACGGCTCTTCGAAGACGTTCCTTCTGAAGAATCTATCACAAATCCGTCACCACAGACGTATATTCGCGAGGAATGTTTTCGGTTCGAATATTCGCACAGTGAATTTATCGTAACGCACGTTTAAGTACGCGAACGGGTTGTCCCACGATGTCAAAAAGGACCTACACCCTAAAGCCTAGGGGACGATGGATAGACGTCCAATTCTCACGAGGGCTGTAAGAGCATAGTCTAGTTTCTCGCAAGGGGCTGTAGAAGAGCACAGTGCTGATTATTCCTCTGTAGGGTCTGGCGCCGGAAGTGGTCGCGTAGGACCGACGATCCAGAAGATATATCGCGTCGGGGCATTCGATCGGGGGAGGCGCGCGTTCTCTACGAGGAGGATACGCGAAACGTGGATAAGAGGAACATAGAGCGAGAGAGAGAGAGAGAGAGAGAGAGAGAGAGAGAGAGAAGAAGAATGCGGGCGAGAACGCATTCGCTTTGGAAAAGCTGCGCGCGGGCCGGCGCGATAATGCGCCTGCTCGATCCCGGGACACGAAGGTGACTAGCAGAGAGAGAGGGAGAGAGTGAGTGAGAAAGAGGGGGGAGGAGAGAGAGAAAGAGTGAGTCAGAAAGAGAGGGAGAGACAGAGTGAGGGAGGGAGAGAGACACAGACAGGGAGCAGCAGTAGCAGCAGCAAGGAGAGACCGAGTTTCTATCCCGTTTTCTATCGCGCCCGCGTGTACTCCCGATCATTCTGTCTCCGTCGGTCCTGTCGGGATCTGGCAGGCTGGCTGGCACTCCCGAAATAATGTTCAACCGCGAGGCAGAAGTGGTACAAGTAAGGAGAGGGGGTGGAGGAAGAGTAGAGGAACAGGAGGAAGAAGCCGAAGGACGGGAGAGCGTGCGCCCGTGCCGACGGTTACATAATTCTCGTAACATGCCTTTGGGTTAGCCGTGTGGCGCGCTGGGGCATATATATCTGCACGCGCGCCGCCGCCGCCGCCGTTCGTCTGCTGGTCGGTCTCTCTACGCGAAATGGCACCAGCCGCCATCGGTGTCCTGATTCGCAGACGGACGGACACGTGTGTCGGGGCCACCACAAATAGCGAGTAGGTAGGATCCCCTCGAGCACAACAGGGGTACCCTTTAGTGGAACGAATCAAACGGAAGACACCCCTCGAGAGGTGTCCTGGGTGGGTTGATTGGACCTGGAGGGAGGGGTAGAAGAGATAACAAGCTAGGCGTGTACGGAGGGTACACGGTAGACTGCACACCACCGGTCGTCTCTTCCAGGTGGAAATCACGGGCTCACCACGCGCCTAGGACCCCAAGGATATCAGGCTGATCCTTGGTCTGGGTTTACGCTATCTTTCTGGGCTTACGGAGTTGGAACGTGTACACACATATACGCGCCGAGGGAGTTGTCGGCTATCCAGCAGCGAGATGAGTTTTTCTAGAGGGTTGGGGATTCGACCAAGTAGGTACGGCACAGTTTGAGATCGAAGATTCGCGCGCGTGTACGCGGAATCGAGAGAAAACGGGTGGGTAACGAATGGGGAGGTCGTCGGTGTGTGTTAGGTGGGCAAGATCCAACTGGGGCCGCGGGGGTGGGAGAGAAAGAGAGATATAGAGCGTGTGTGTGTCTGTGTGAGTTGCGTGTACGGTCCGGAATGGAATCGCGAATCAATCCGGCCGGAGGGTAGAGTGGATCTTGTCGTCTCTTCGGGAAAATATACTCACCGCGGTATGGTCCTCTGCAAGATGTCTTCCGGGTGTCTTTCTCGGTGGCAAGAGAAGAGAAATTTGATGTCACATACGCCGCTTCATCAGGCCACTGCGCGCCGTTTATACCACTCTGCTTAGCGCTTCGCGCTTGCCACTAAAAATATACTCACTTGCGCCGTGTATGCCCCCGCTTCACGTCTTGTACCGTGACCGACACATTTATCCGCGGTTTCGGTAGCACACTCGTACTTGCAACCACGCGCGAACAATCCCTCACGGACAAAATAACGTCTCGCTCGATCTCTCCCCTATGGGATGTATATATATAAGAACCAACGGGAACGAACGACGAACGTACACCGTACGTACGTACTATGCGTAGCGAACGACGAACGAACGACCGAACGACCGCCCGCCCGGCTGGCTGGCTGGCTGGCTGGCTGCTCTCCGCTCGGTGTTGCCGGCTTCCGCCGCTTCGCGCCGCTGCTGCCTGGACACCGACGGAGAAGGACTGTTGCCAAAAAAAACGATCCTCTCGCTCTCTAGCACCCGTTCCCTGTCTCTATCTGTCTGTTGATGGTGTGTTGTGTCTCTCTCTGTCTCTCTGTGTCCTGTTCGAGAAACGAAGAGTCCACATACACACGCACACGTCACAGCGGCACCGAAAGGGAGCGAAAGAGAGAAGATTCGACCGGTGGAAACAGTTACGGTGGGAGGGGCGCGTAACGGAAGAGGGAGCGGACCCGCGAGTAGGCCACCGGTCCCCTTTTTGTTGTTTTTTATTTCTCTATCTTTCCCGTTTACTCGGGGGGATCTTTTTCACACACACTCACACACACACACGCACGCAAGGAGGAATATACCCGTGTCCCAAAGTCTCTCGCGCGCGCGCGCCCCGCGGCGATTCGCTGGGTGATGACACAAGCCAAGGAACCAAATCGAACGAAGAAAAAAAAAGGGAGAGAGAGAGAGAGAGAGAGAGACAGAGAGATCCCGCACCGCACGAAAATACACGCGGCCCCCCCGGTTAGAACGCGGAGAGGAACTTTTCGTTCGACACCCGACCCAGAGAGTCCAACCAGCCACTGTGTAACCGACGGAGTAATATGTGTGTAAAACACCAACAGTGGGACCGATCAGGGTGAGAGGGGGGAGCAGAGAGAGAAAGGGGAGGGAGAGACAGACAAGAGGGAGGAGTTTTGCGAGCAAAAAACAGGGGAAGGCGCAGGCCACAGAAACAGGCAGGTAAGGGGGATATTTCGTGGAGCAAATAGGACTCGATAACTGTTCAACTGGGTTCCCCCTGGTTTAGCAACAACGATACAGCCTGGAATACTTAACGAGGGAAACGCACGGGGAAATTACCAATGGTGCTGGACACTTCCCTGCGTGTCTCTCTGTGGATTCTTACTAGTTTCTCTACGCAAGGCACCGCGCATGCACTACAACACGACAAACCGTCGGAAATTCGTTTCTCCTCCGTAACCCTCCTACCCAGCTTATGCCCCCTCTTTTACGAGAAACACACCTATATACTCCACACCCCCCCCCCCCCCCCGAAGCAGCGAGGCCGCGGTCCGCGAGACACCCCCGAGATTCCCCTTGCGCGATCGTGTACAAACTAACGACAACAACAATAACAATACCGGTGGAGGAGACCCGGGTCGCTTCAATGGCAATCGGCTCGAGAACGGGGGGACTACTCCCTCGATCGGACGTGTGATCTTCAAACGTGTATGTATACATACACACGGAACGTGAGGAAGAGGAGGGTTGGGTCACTCGAAAGAGAGAGAGAGAGACACACGACACTTTCGAATCTGTGCTCGGGTCAATATAAACGGACGTGTGTTTATATGTGTACAGGGTGAAACAAAAAAAGGGTTCGTAACTTCCGGGGTAGATAGTACTTGCCAAATGATGAAAAAATATCCTTGAAACATGGGTCGAAAAATTAATATTTTCAAAGTTGGAAACAATTCTGGGTTTACTAATAAGAATTGTAGAAGAACCTTCTGTAATCAGGAACACGAGGAATGATAAGGTAATCCATTGTTTCCGTACGGCTCACGGTAGCTTCCGAACCGAGAAAGTCACTCGATTTGACCGAAACAAAAAATTGTTTATAACTTTGAAGAATATTTATTTTTCCACCAATGTGTTACTAGGACTTTGTTTCGTCATTTGACGAGTAGTTCTCTTGTTCCACCCTGCACACTTCTCGAGCATACTTGGAAGGTCGGTTACCCCAAACAGGGGTATGAGATATATCACAGGTGATCGACACGAGAATCATCAAAACAGACTTTCCTATATCTAGTCGTTCCGCTCCCTATCCGCCTGCTATCGTTCACGCGTGTCTCCTGTGCACAAGCCGTCGCCGCGCGAATGATTCTTGCCGCGAATACCAGCCTATTATACGGCCCAAACGACACGAATCATTCGTGGAGTCTATTTTCTTTAATCACCCTATATACAGACACCTGTGAATTCGACGAAAGATCGTCACAAAAATGACTATGCTCGATTGGTGTTCAGAATACAGTACAAGATCGTCCGGGTACTTTTCAAGGATACAACACACGCGCGAATGATTCTTGCCGCGAATACCAGGCTGTTATACAGTCCGAACGGCACGAATCATTCGGGCAACGTGTGTACACTTGAGATATCGGCGGCGGGCTTAATTTCCTTCTCCTTTTCGGTGCTGTGTTTCAAGGTATATTGTGTGTATGTGTGTGTGCGTGTGTGTGTACGTACGTTTGTTTTTCACGTCGATGTGGTTGCGTGAGAAAAGAGAGGAAGAGGGAGAAGAGAAACAGAGAAAGAAATAAGAAGGGTGGGAGAGTAGAGGCACGGGGGGATAGAGTGCACGCGAAAGACAGGGGGAAAGAGAGAAAGAGACCGAAGTTCCTTCGTGCAAAACGAATTCGGTGCGACTCACTGCACGGTCCGTACGCAACTACGGTCCCCGTTTAACTGGCGGCATGTCTCAACTATTCGAGGCATTCGGAGTCGGTGTGCGCTCGCGCGTGCGCGCGGGTGGCTGTGCCTCGATCGCCCAACCCTCTAACACACTACCCCCGTTTCCCTACCCGCGCGCCGCGGCGTCTTCCTTTTGCCTCTTCCTCTCTGCTGCCACTACACATTTCTCGGTGTTTTCCATTCATCCCGTCCATTCCATTGGTATAACCCTATTTGTTCCAATTCTGTTCTACAGAGCAAATTATCCCACAATTTTGTCATCGAGTTGCTTTTATTTTTTTTCTTGTTCGACCCAGTGAACCTGGAACTGTATCACCTATCCACGGTTTCGTCCTGTGTTTACGATGCGTGCTGCTCCAGGATCATCAAACGGACATACTCGAGGAAACGTGAAAAACCTTACAGAAAACGAGTCCGTTGGTGGCGCGATGGGATCTCGCACGATTCAACCGTCAGATATTTCTTAATAACTCTCGACGATAACTGGGAGGAGGTAGGGGGGGGCATGACTAGATTCGCGGAATTTTAACGCTAACCGAGAAAATACCACCGACGGAACTTAATCTCGCGACGACGTCCCTGACCTGTATACGAGGAGCCTCCTAGGGATACTCGATTTCTCGCATACCTATCGTGTCTTCTTTTTAACTACCACACGTTTGATAATGTTTCGCGAAATAAATGCGTTGTAATTCGAGATCGTCTTAAAAAGTCATTTTCCGATCATCCCACCGAATTCGGTTAACTTCTTCCCCGTTTTGAAGACGGGAGGAATTGTTCGGTTCCACCGTAATAAGAGGTGCCGATGATCTTTGATTGCCTCTGCAGCGCTAGACGGTGCGCACGCGTCGTTCCCGAACCTCAAAATACTTTCTGCCAAGAAAAATTCGCGAAATCCCCTTCCTCGATTATATCTTCTGGCTCCGTACCACGCTCCGATAATTCATGTACTTTTAAAAGGATAAATAAATGAATTTCAGACGAAAAGTTATTTCCAGCGTATAACGGAGTAACGGACTCAACGGGCGAGATCGAGAGAAAAAAAAAAGAATGTTTCTCGAATCGTCGGACCTTATGGAGAGACAAAAAAAAGCTATGATACGCTATCGGTTGATTCCAGTTCGAACAGGTTTCCAACGAAACCGGAGGAACTCTGGTGACGTCACCTGCGCGCCCATTTAACATCGTGCACATTAAAACAGCCTCTGCCGTTAATTTCGACGCGCGTGCATCCACGGCGAAATTAATTTTATTGCCGCGGATTAATCCAATCAATTTTACTTGATTACCGTGTGCAGACGCACCGTGACGTCAAACGCGAGAACACGTCACGGTCGGGCGGCGGTTAATTTCCATCGACAAACGGAAACGCCAGGTTTTTATGAAACCCGTTCCATCGTGTGCTCTCGTGCTCGGTAATAATCGGACGGTCACGAGACATTCTTCGCGGGGACGTAACCTATTTAACATGGCGTTTCACTCGAAGGTAAAAGTGCTCGAGGTGGCATCGGTTACGCGAAGATTTTCACGAGACACGCACGACGCCATCTCGCCTGATAAACCGGAACCTTCAGAGCCTTCGAATGATTACAGATCCGTCGGTAACTGAGGAATTAGTACCGAGTCGATAAGTGTATTGACCGACAGAGCATCGGTCGATAAATGTTTCGACCGATAACCGTATTTGTCGATAAGTGTGAAAATTTCGACGAGCAAACACACTTCCGCAAAAGAAAATGTCGCTGAATGGAAATCAAAACGGTCCAATTTTGATTTACAATGAAAGACAAGGTAACTGGGATTGCATAAAGTATCGGGTATTCGGGGGGAATATATAAGAGGATAGAAGATTCAATGATCTGATTTCGATCGAGCACAGTATCCGCGAGAAAATCGCTTTGACGAAGCCTCGTAACCGTTAGATCCAAGACTGTGTGCGTGACTGACGCTTAAAAATAGCAGACAGCTTGGAGAATAAAAGCGGAGATGATCGAACAGGGCAGAGGATTGTTCGATATGGAGAACGAAACCCTAGGAAAGGAACCGAACGGTTTCTGGATCATACATGGATCCCAAAAGTTCTATGTATTCCTTTGCAGCTACGATACAGAACATTCAAATATTTGAATTTGCCGCCATCTTTCCCACCCACTATTCTAATAAAGAAATTTTAAATGGTTCTCTACTGAATCCCAATGTTTACAAACAGAAAAGAATGGGCTAACTGTCTGTAGGAATTCGATGCCAATTATAAGGTTTCATTTCATTAATATAGTAAGTTCTATTAGAACATTGTTTCGTAGCTCATAAGTTATTCACTGCGACATTTTTGGATCAGAAATATATGCGGTATATTCTATAAAATTACGACATTTTAAACCCGAAGAGAATAGAAAATTGTAATTGCTCAAATATAAAAAGTAAACGTTTGTAAATTCAACTCTCTAAAAAATTTTTAACCGTTAAATGTTAGGCGGGCCTAGATGGCGACTATGTGTCATTTCGAATGCGTACCAATAACGACCAGAAATAATATTTAACAGGAGTAACACTCATTTAAACGTACAAATGTTTCAACACTTTGAAACGATATGCCTTGGCTATTGTGACCATAAAATTCAAGATTATATGAACCATTGTGTTGTAATTACATAAAAATGGAACGTGGAAAGTCAAGATTTGGAGAGCGTCACTCACCGATGGTATTCCTCGATGGTTTCCATAGCCATGACGTGCACCCTACACGTTTCCTTGTATCGTAGACAAATACTTGGAGGTGTCAATGATGGATCTTGACACTTCACACCGGTTTAATCACTAGAAACAACATTAATCTGATACTAGGACGGAAATCAAGCAACCACAACCTCACTCAACGAATGCCGCGCGCGGACTGTCGTCCTACTTGTGTGTCCTGCGCATTACACGCAAATTCTCCCACTGCGCAACTCCAACTCAGATGCGTAGTAATGTGAATTACATTCGCGTAGTTAAATCTATAACAGAAATGTTCAAACACAGTTACGACATTTGCGATTAATGTGTAAATATTACTTTTGGATAATTTATTAAAATATCCCAATATATCCTTTACATCTGCTTTAAATAAGGTTCGAATAATTTAGCTCAGCTACTGTGCAAACACGCTGAGCATCTTGGGTAATTTATTGCGAATTAAAATATCCGGGAAACTCACACGAATTTAAATGTTTCGTAATGAACAACCACAATTCACTACGTAAATACTATTTCTGAAATCGTTACAATGAATGTTGAATCGTAATCTGTACGCGTTATTTTTATGTCTATATTGTTTACTTCAACTTTATTGAATGCAGATCTGTTTATTGCATTTTTGGGGAATTATCTACGAAAAACTAAGGATTGGATGAACTATGGTTTCAGGATTCAAGTATCAAACAACATTATCATATTTCATTTGAGAAAAAAAACCCTACTCTTATCTTAAAGCACCATCCACCTTTTCTTAATTAAGCTATTTCGTAAAATCTGTTTCAGGGTTAAAGTATCATAAGACAGTATCATATTTTATTTAAGAGGAAAACTTTACTATTATCTTAAAGCACCATTTGCTCCTTCTTCGTTAAGCTGTTTAGTAAAATCTTTTCTGTAGTAACAGGACCATCTGCAAAGATAGTTGATGGTTATCGTAATGCAAAGAAATTAAAAAATTCGAAAGATAATATAAATTCTATTACACCTACCCAACCGATACCATGGATCGTTATTTCCAGCATCTTTTCTTGCCGAATTAAGTGCATTGCGAATTGCAAGTGGCACTACACAACTCATACAGAGAGGCGGTTCACCAGTTACTGTAATACACACATCATTAACAAATACGCTCAGAACATTTATTACTTAAGACAAAATATTGAATTGCTTAATTGACTGTAGTGTGATAATTAACTAACTTTTCGATCGAAGGACAAACAATGGATTAGGCGCATTTCGACGAATGTAAATCCGAAAATCGGCAGGAATGTCTTTTGCACCGGGTGGTTTGTAATTCTATGACAGAAATATTGCATGAAGTCGTGTTCCGTATAGGAAGTAACAACGCATTATTAAATACAAACCCAAGTTCGATAATTCGTTAGTTGACCAGTTCTTGGATCATAAATTAAGTCTTCTGAAGTCCAGTATCCAAGTCCCATAACGAAGGCACCCTCTATCTGTCCCAAGTCTATTTCTGGATTCAGACTAACTCCAGCGTCTTCCATTAAGTCTACTCTGTGCACAATATGTTGTCCGGTTAATACGTCGACTTCAACTTCCGCTATTGCGACTCCGTATACATGATAATTATGCACACCCTCAGACTGTGCGGTACACCTAAAGAATGCGTAACGAATAATCACATGCAAAGCGTGCAATTATTATGAATAATTATTAGAAATATACATGTAACGCGCGCATAAATCCACGTCCTTCAGAGTAGCTGCGAGCACTAATTGTTGCCAGGTAGGATTCGTTAGCTCCTTTTTGATAGGTTCCAGCCTCTTCAACAATTCTTGGCAAGCCTTCATGGTTGCCTACAATTGTGCCAGGCGTGATTGAAAAATATTACAATCACCATACCTTAGGTACACATAGAACAACTGCTTACAAATGCGCAAGTCTCGCTGGTAATGCTACCACCGGTGACAGAATTGTTTGGAGCCGTCAAATTGTTGCTTGGTTTAACAGTCACCAGTGACAAGTCGATTCCCAAGACGTGCGCTGCTACTTGAGCTACCTACCAAGAGAAACTTATCAAAAGATAATTCTTCGTTACGCATATTTTATCTATTTGTTTTATTTCTCGTACCTTTGTATTAATACCCTGGCCACACTCAATACCGCCATGTGTAACAGAAACGGTGCCATCCCTGCCATAGATTACAACGTGTGCATTAAACTGTCCCCAATACATCATAGGATACATAACTGGTACTACAGAGATTCCCTTCTTCTTCCATCGATTTTCCTAATCAATTATGACAATATAGTTCAATCAACAAATCAGTTTACACGAGCTTACCAGAAGCATGTAACAAAAAATGTAATCTCACATTGTTAAATGTTTCCACAGCTGTCTTCCTCGTCTCATAATCTGAATTTTTGGACAGTTCCTCTATCATTGGCTGTAATATGCTTTTGTGATCCGGATGCATATTCAATAACTTCACTTCCAAAGGATCTTTTCCAACAACTCTTGAAACATGCTCCATCAAGTACTCCGTCATGCCGACACCTTCCGTGGAAGCTGCAAAACAAATATCCCATTAATAACGGTAAAACAAACAAGAAGAAATAAATGTTTGCTTTATGGCTTTTTCTAGCTTTACATGGCGCTCGACAATATGTGTTTGATGGTGTATCGGTTCTGGCTTCGAAACCTTCGCCTGACCAGGTGCTGGTGTCGTAGCAGCTGCAACCATCAACAGAAGGAAATAATCAACTATATATCGTCACTATCCAACAATACTAAATGATTTATGCCTGACTTTTTGACGTGTTCTATCGTGAGGAATGCATGGAAGTCGTTGAAATTGCAGCCACTGTTTTGCCAGTATTTCGTGTTCAAGTACTGAATATATCCACTGTCGTCTACGCCAACCTCGTACTCTTGACGAGTGTCGTACCGTTTACCCAACACTTTCATATTACTCTCTATGGACATTATAAAGCGTGCTGGTCGATTCAATTTGTAGCAGGCCAACGCGCACGCACAGGCCACGTATGAGGCACGAGATATCTTTGCGCCGTATGCACCACCCAGACGCCTCACGTTGATGTTCACGCTGAAACCAACGATTAATTAGCCATAAGGCTGCAGGTAAGTAAGTCTGATGGTATCTGTGTATGCTTCACCTATTTGCCTTTATACCAAGGCAATCAGCTATGGACGTTTGAACAAGGTCCATCCACTGTGACGATGGATACACGTCCAAACCATCCTCGACTGGAATGCAGACGCAAGACTGCGGCTCCATGGTGTAATGGTACTGGCTGCCACAAGAGAACTCGCCTTTTATCACATGTTTCACGTTGTTACCTATATAGTATAACATTAGAAATGTACAACAAGATGTACGCGACAGATGTTTACACGAAAGGTAAATCACCTTTCTTTTGAGCTTTCAATGTAGCTGTCTGCATCAATCTGGACTGATCGTTCGAGGCGAGAACTTGTTCTATGGACATTACCGTATTCTCTTCTAATACGTCGATGTAGGAGATATTCACCTTCTCTGCTGCCTCGTTCGCAATTGCGTGAGTCTCGGCGACGATGATGCCCACCGGCTGACCAGCGTATTCGATTCTCGTATCGGCGAACAACTACAAAATACAATGGAGTATTTGTACCGACTGCAGTTTATATAGACAGCGTTAATTTCTAGCTTCATTTACCACTTCATCGAAGGACAACATTTGTTGTTGATTGTCTTTGTTGATGAATAAATTCCTCCCAGGAACATCCTTAGCGGAGTAAAACGCCACGACACCTTTCATTTTCTAAAAAACCGTACCAAGATTCCAGAGTGTAGTTTCTCCGCAGAATATTTTTAACTGGTTCTAATGTCAAAAGACTGTACCAATGCATTGGAGGGATCGATGCTAGCGACCTTCCCGTTCGGCACAGTGGAAATAACAAACGCGCAGAAAACTTCGTTCGCGAGAGGAGGAATATCATTCACGTACTGCGCTTCGCCGGAAGTCTGGTACACGGATTCCATCTTTGGAATGGGTTTGTTTAACGGCCACAGATTCTTATCCGTCTCGAAATCCTGTTTACCCGAAGATAATCCACGATCCAAAATGGACCCTCCACTACGTAGTTTTGGATCCAAGTTTTCTGGCTTGATGCTTAAAATGAACTAAACCATGGACGTTTTACAAATGATTGACAAGAACCAATAAAATGGATGTGTTGCACTGAACAAAATAATTTAGTTAATTCGTGAACCGCTGGATAATTACCTTGTAGAGAAGACCTTCAGCAAGGGTCTTCCTAAATGAAGGAGAATAATCAGGCAACACATGATCCGGATTTAATTCGTTATCCAGTTTCGCCATGGCATTTTTGACGACATCTTTGTTCAAGATGGATTTCCCAACGAAAAACTTTTCAGTGTCTACCGCGTGCAGCTGAAATATTAAGTCCTGGAGGTATAATACCCCTTCACTCTTACATCACTGCACAGTTTAGTTCTACTCACGAATTCTTTGTGTATTCCACCGAATATAATGTTTGGTTCTTCTAGTACTTTTCCAGTCCCGTCCAATTTAAACAGGAAGCCACCGTTCACATGGGCATGAGCGTTCTGAGCTCGCGGCATGATCTGTTCAATAATTCTTTCATGTTACCCACAGAGAGCTCGATAAAACGATGATTTTTAAATACCTTAAATGATCTGTAATGGTATTCGCTGCCGAGCGCCGGTAAAGCTATACTGTATATAATTTTATGTTTCATATCCATATTCAGGAAATTCAGTAGATTCACGCTTGTCTTCCTACCGCCAGCTTCCACTGTGCATAGAATTCATAAGATTGAAACCAACGAGATTCATGATTGAAACCACCGATCCAACGAATTCGCTCACCTATATGCAATTGGGCGCCTACGGTTTCGAGCATCAAGAAGAGATCCGAGGGAAATTCGTGATACTGATGCTTGATCATTAAATTCCCGGCTAGTGTTCCGATCTGGAACCGATCAACAGGGTGGTTATATCGTTCACTGATTATTCGAATTAAGACATACATTTCTAACAGGAACACTGGCGATCAGATCGATGTGACTAGCCAGGTGTCGCAGATACTCGAATTTCGGCTCCTTGGAGTACTCATTGAAGGTTTCCATGGCCGTTGTGAGGGAGTTGTTGCCGCCGATGGTCAAGGAATCGTTGTTTTTGCTTATACGACGCAAATCAGGAATATCGTTTATGTCGATGTACATGTCGGGTACTTTTAACCGATAGACACCTACAAAACAGATACCATAATCGACGACATCTATAAGTAATCTGTACATTAAAATGTAAACACTTTACCGTGAGCAGTGTTACCACCGTGTAGAACATAACTGGCTGTAGGATTTTTCTGAAACACTTCGAACATATCGTCAACTGAGAGCACTTTATGGAACTCTGAACCGTCCAGTTTCATGTCGATCTTGGCCTCAGTAGTCTGATTAACTGTGCTGCAGGTATTACAACCATTCTGGCAGGGTAAACCGGTCTTCTTGCATGTTTTGATCTTGTACAACTCCTGTCAAGGGAAAGTACTGATTAGAGTATCAATTCCTTTAAATTCTGGAGAATCATTTTCTTAGTTCCTTTAAGCAGTTTATCGTCTCCCACCTCGATATCATGGATATCTTTGGCAAGCTCCTTGGGGGCGTCAGTAGCGAAGCCTTTAAACGTGTCCAAGATTGGCCTGTAACCTGTGCACCGACAGATATTACTGCCAAACGAATTCTCGATCTCCTTCATGGTCAGTTTCTTGGTCTGCAAAAGACTATGCAAGGCGACCAAGTTAATCGAATCTGCTCTTTGAAATCAAGAATGGTAAATGGGGATAGCATACCTGTACATGTTCATTACCATGCCTGGAGAACAATAGCCACACTGGGAACCATTCTTCTCGGCCAGACTTGCTTGCAACACGTGATACCCATCTTTTTTGTTACCCAATCCCTCGATAGTTTTAATGGCCCAACTGTAATTAAAAATGAAAAATAAGTTTCATTAGCCTCTTCATTAGAGCCTTTTCAGCCTCTGATAAATTTGCTTTTGACCCGAAGCCGAGACTTTGCTTAGCTTCCCAGATAGCACACGATGTCTAAGACTAGACCTAAAACAGCCGTAAAATGGACGTTTTCGAGGCATCATGTGCTATCTGAGCTGTATATACTACAAAGACCAGAAGGATCATGGATAAAAATCTGTTCTATCTTACCCGTTACAGATCAAAACCGGCACCAGACAAGAATTAACGGACATTGTCACGCCCTTGACGACCACCGATACAATGCATGCACCACAACCACCCTCGTGGCACATCGCTTTGGTACCACGAAGCCTCGCGTGGTCCCTGATGAAGACATTGAGGGACGTTCCGCATGGTATGTCACCCTTAACTAAACAAAATTATGCGTAAATCCGTGTGTCTTCGAATTTTCACTTTCAAGTGCATGCGATAGAGCTTTGGACACGTACCGGTATACGGGACTCCATTGATGGTGAACTCTACCGAGGACTTGGTATCCCTGAAACAAGAAATGTCAATCAGTTTGACAGTGGAAATGTTACCACAATACATAGATAACAGAACAAACAGCGCAGTGTTTATATTCCCTTTGTTTCTATATCAGAATTCAATCGATTTGTTAGTTGTTGGATATTTCTGCAAATATAAAACTTATTTGATTAATTGAAATTCCAGCAAAATTTGATTTGCCCAGTTAAGGATTAAGGGGTTTAAGTTAGGACAAAGTTACAAAATTAAGGAAAGTAATTTTAATAGCGAGTCTTCATAATTTTTCAACGATATTTCATGCAATATATCACCGACATCCTTCACATTTTCGTTTCAGAATGATCGTTTAGTTTGCCGATAAAACTTCACCAGATATATAATCTGCCATAAAACACAACGTCTACACCTACAATCGCATTGGCATTGCAAAACATGTGGTGTCTAATAATAGATAAGATAAATAGTTTGAAAATGTTTACTGCCCAGTTTTCAGTTTTAAAAAAGCTTCCACTCTCGTTATAAGAAAGAATTATTTTCTACCCAAGAGAAGTCAGACTGTTTTGCATACGTAAATTATATGAAGATCCCCTGCATATGAATGATTGGTAAGTTCAGGCTGAGGCTTAAGTGCCCATTTAACGGGCGACTGTATTTTCATCCTCGTTACGGGTAAGTAGGAGTTAACAGTCGATTGTTGAATCCGGTTTTTATGAAAATCACATCGAACGATGATGCATTAATCGACAATATCGTTATGTAACTCGATAATGCTCTGTATTAACGTTTAATCTGAACGGGTTTGATTGCAAGCCTCGGCAACGGAACCAACGAAAGCTTGAGCATGCAATAACGCATTATCGAAAATTACAGAACGGATTCCTTGTTCTTCCAGGCAATTCATTCCGATCATACTAGCTAATCACCTCCTGAGAACCAATTATCTTTCCTTATCTCAACGACTCTTCAGCCTGTAAGAGAAAAAAAATGAAAACTCAATATTATGATCCTCCAGAACAGATTGTTTTGTAACTTGGCAGATTTTTAACAAGTGCACGAATCACGTACAATTTTCAATAACATTATTTCTTGACGATACCAGCTGGAATATTCCACTTGTCAATTGAAGTACCGCGATTACGTAATATTAGGCAAGCAGTTTTTACCACACTTCAAGTATAATTTTAGAAGACCGATTGATAACACGATCTATCGTGCTTGATTGTGAACCGAGTAATAATTTCCTGTTCTCAGTAAATAGAATCTCTGTACAAACTCAAAATATATATATACACTCCTTTCGTTTCCCCAAATGAATTACGGTTCAACCGGCAGAATGTTTCCCCCGTTCTGTCGCAATCGATCAACTTTCACGATCAGTGAAAGGATTTTCGACGTTAGTGGGGATCAGAACAATGTCTCCAGCTGGCCGAATTTTCTGCAACTCTCTCCCAAACAGTGATCGCTTCATTTCAGGATCGATCAAACAATGCCTATTTCACAATTTTCAACTTCTATTTTTTCTTTTTTGTTTTATTTCTTTGTGTCTAAGATTAATGAAGGCAAACTTTTCACTCTAAAATTGCCAAAGAGAGTACAGAGATCGAACGAAGAATCTTTACTTGCATTGACAGTGCTGGATTTCGAATAAGTCAAAACTCACCCGGTCTCTGCTTTCACGCCGTTCATGCTTGCTGCTCTGTTGTTTGGTGCGAACTACTTTTAGACGGAGAATCGAAAGGAAAAAATCGAGAAAGCACGGTATACGGCACTTACAACTAGACACTATCAGTGACAGCTAGTTCCACCGATGGAGTAACACGAGTGTAATACACTATAAGAGCTTGCCTCTTTGTACTCCAACATCTAGACCTCCCACCACTTGTAAGGATGGTTACAGAAATGTTGTATCATCTATCCAGGCCACTTGAAACATGCACACTCAGCAGATTTTCAACGATCTAGCCAATTATTTAGCAACATTCTTTGTACGTACAATGGATAACAAAAGTATTCAAAGACCTTTTAAAATAGAACAACTATTTTAAAAGTTGATCCAAATGATTTGAATTTTTCTGTCAAGTTACGGACATTAGTTGACTAAATGATGCGTAACAATAAAATTGAAAAAGATGCAATTGGTCGGAATCGCGGAGTAAATTGTAAAGGTCGTTTTTTACAACTTTTTAATCTGAGGGTATAATGAAAATTTAATAAGTATATATTAACTAATAAGTAATATAACTAAGAATGTTCCTAATTTCACAAAACAACTCGAGTTACTCGGACCAATTTTAAAAAGGATGTTCAAATACTTTTGTTACCAACTGTACATCTTCTGCGTCGCATTAGAAGGGGACATCTGTTTATAATAATTAGCTTCCTGCTCCTTGGAGTGACCTTCGTAATAGCCCTGAAAAGAAATATTCGAACAGTTTGCCTGAACTTCAAAGTATTAGGTAAATATCCGAAATATAACTCACTTTCGAACACTCTTGTCTGTATGTGTTGGTGAAATAAAGAAATGGAGGTTTAACTGTCCTCACGAAGATAGTCCACTAAAATCTACCCATTTTCTTCTTCTTGATACAGTTTGGAAAATACGTATGTGTATCAGTTGAAATGAATTATATGGAGGAACTTAATGGATGCATTGTCGCAAGCACAAATAGTAATGTCAATAAATACTCTATTAAACGCCATTCATTGTTTACAATAATAATCGTTACAACATATTCACGTAGCGCAGTAATGATATCAATGATAATCGATACAAAGTGAAACCGTAAATTAATAGCCGTCTCAACTGATTAATTACGGATTCGGTATGTACACACCATTTTCTTCCCGTTTGAACATTTCTACGCGATTTACACGACTACCGAGGGTTAAAGAGAGAGACACGTCCTGACGGAAGGAAGGTAGTACATAGAACGGTGTGAAACTGAGGGTAATATTACTAAAAAAAAAAAAAAAAAAAAAAAAAAAAAAAAAAAAAATTTCATCTCTACGGCTACCATCGATATACAGTAAATCCTCGCTAAGTGTTCGAAGGCTCCTCGTTAGTGAACATTAAATAGTTCATAAACTAATAACCATATGCAGCTGAAATAATCATGATTGGCTTCGGGATCCCAAGCTCCATCACTGAGCTCAATGCAAAGTCAGCGTTATACCTCCCAGATAGCACATGACGCCTTCAAGACGTCCATTTTACGGCTATTTTAGATCTAAAGCGCCTTTAAGCCGTCTTCAAGGCGTCATTAAACGTCGTGTGTTATCTGGGCTAGGGACGTCTCCTTGTCGATGTCGAGGAGTCGAACACACATCGAAAATTTACTGTACTCGGCTGGTGTTTGCCCCCATCTCTATGTCTCTGTGCTTTTCTCGTTAAACAAAATATGTCCGCTAAACGCTAGCGACTTTACAGGGTTCCTTTCCAGGCTGACGCTCTTAACACGTTCAACGCCCCTCGCTATCTCTCTCTAAAACTACAAATTTGCAGAAAATCTTGCAACATAACCTATGTCGAATTGGAGGGCAAAACCGGAACAAGGTTTGCGAAAGCCAATTTGCTGTCATATAGCAAATCTTGCATCAAACTTTATAACAGGCATTGCAGGTTTGGCTGATTGGGCGATTCTTTCATTACATATTTCGCAAGCAGTGCGTGACGACGGCAATTATTTACCAATAAATGGGCCCCTAATTGATACACTAATCTGTACGATAATTAGAACAAGCGACAAGAATGAGATGTTTAATTGCTCGGGCGGCACTGAACGTGTTAATAGCAAGGGCGACGAAAGATTCGATATACATAGCATTAGTTCTTCTCTTTTCTTTTTTTATCGTGTCGTCTTCCGCTAACTTACAACAGGGAGAATTACATAGATCGCTACTGCCCTATGATTCTCGTTAAAATATGCGTTTATATATGTATATGTAATATTGTCCTGTTACACTCGATCACCAGTAAGTTTACACAATGTGTGTGTGTGTGTGTGTGTGGTTTTATTTGTTGGAATTTTACTGTGAGACCGCGTACGACAACACACGAGGTATAAAATAAGTGTATTCGTTTTACAATATACTCTTCGAGGCTGATGAAACAAATTCTTTTTCTTTATTCGCTTAATTTCACTACCAACAACAATTATCATTTAAATCCTTCTTAATGTGGAGCTCCCTGTACAATAAATCCCATACTGAAAGCTTACCAGATTCGGATATCATTGTGAATTGAAATAATCTTCTGTATGGATCATCCAGGATCAATGAAATATCTATATTGTACCGTGATCGAAGAACAGATCGGAGCTGGTGAGCTTTTTTACATACCAACGGAAAAACGCGTCCCACAATTTCTGGACAGCAGAAATCCTTTGGGGGTATTCTCTTAAACTTAATGGTGACCAGTTTTTTTCGCTGTGATCCGTAGCCGTTAATTGAACATGTAATTTATGATATCTAGTCTTCTATGGCCGTTGCTCTCGCCAAGTCTCTAGAACCGTATTTATACAAGGGCATATCTAAGCTAGGTAAATCGCAAACTCGGACCTGAGGGGCTGGGGGAGGTGTGTCAGGGGTGCAGCCACTGAAAAGGCGATATCTGCAAAAATCGGTGAATCACTTGGTAAATACGATCCAATGAACAGGTTCGACTGGATAACAATAATTAGACTGTATATATATATATGTATATTTGTGAATCGTTATTACCATTTTAATAGGGTTCCTTGCTCGTCGGAACAAATGCTTCACAAAATCGTTCTGTATCTCTTTGTACCTTTTTCCATCCTGAATACGGTCTCTGATGGTCCGTTATATAAACAAGTTTGCGCGCACCCCTGACTTCGTACAAGTCCAAACAGTCCAGACAGCAGAAAATTTACTCGCATACTCGTATCGATACGTTTTTTTTCTCCAAAGACCAAAAATAACAGTTATTTTAAATTTTTTTGGGAAAAAAATCATTGAGTAAAAAGTAATTATTATAAAATTCCCGTCATCAATAATTGTTATTTATAACCAAAAAGAAATTTAATCATTTATAATGGTTATTCGTAAATTCTGGTTATAACACTTAGGGTCTCTGTTTTTTTCTCCTGTTATCTGGGTCTCTCTCTCTGTCTCTGCACACTCGACGAACTCTTTCGCGGTCCAATCATTTTCACACATAGATATAGCGTTGAAAGGAAAAACGAACAGGATGAATTCGCCCCCCCACCCTAGTTACATCTAAATTCGCTACTCCTATTCTGTTCTCCGCGGTGCCATCCACTTACCGATCGACGAGAATTTTGTAACGTGAGACCCCACCGATCAAGAAACAATTTCACTCAAGCCGTCAAACAGAAAGATTCTCTAAAGTACGACGCTGTCAGGAATCAATGAAACCTTTCGGAAAACTTTATAAACGAACAAGTGTAATTTGTATTTTAACATGCGAAGCCAATTACCTACACAAGCGTAACAAAAGAAATAACTATTCCACAGTTTCTGATGGGAGAAGAAAATAAAAAAGAGAATCTTTAACTCACGGACACGATCGCCAAAGGCATTCATACTTCCGCTTTCTATAACCTGTAGACGGCCTTTCTCTCACTTGGACTACCCGTTTCGAAACACAATTCGCCGAACACAAAGTAGGGCTGCAACATCATGGGAAACAAGGTAAAACACACACACACGCACGCACGCACACACGTGTTAAGACTCGCGAATATTACATTCATAATAATCATATGAGTATCATAATCTTAACTTGTGTACATAGTTCGCTCGATTACCTAATTAAGACAGTTCGGAACGGTATACAGATAAAGAACATTAGTGAAACAAACTAATATTCCAACATTCTTCTCTCTCACGTTCGTTCTTACATACACACATTCTTTCGTACGTTCTTACATTCAGGCATACGCATATTCTCTCTCTCTCTCTCACTCCCTCTACGTACATGTATATATACATACATATGTGTGTATAATCGGGGGTACATATGTGTTTGTATGTGTGATGATATCGCGTATACATACGTATATATACATATACAATTATTATTTAATACTTTTAACAAAGGATACGTCGTAACTATTTCAGCGCCCTGAGTCGAAATCAAAGATACACGGTAAATAATACGAAAAATGAAACGTGGAAAGCGACACGGGTGCGCCAGTAGGATTACGCCATATACATATACATATATTTATATATACATATATATATATATATATATATATATATACTTCTTTAAGATATTTATATCTTCAACGTTGTATCTCTCGCGTTAGTATGTTTTTTTTCTTCTTTCTTTTAGTCACGTGTTGATTCGGATCACGCGAAAATTTTACACTAATACGAGATGCATGCATGCATATCATCATCAGCCAATTACCCAAAGTGACCCAGCACTTTCCGAACGAACCGTACCAGCATGTTCTTTCGGACAACAGTCAGAAGGTGAGGTCTTTCTCTCGTCTGTGTTTTTTTTTTCTTCTTTTCGTTCGCACATCATTTCTGCGCGTAGAACATATTCGTATAATTCAGCCGGAGAATCCTGACTCTCTTGTAATATTATAACGTGTTTCGACGTATGTACGTTTAGAATCATGACGAGCCGATCGACGGGCTCTCTCTTGCGCGTCAAGGAATGCTCTTTCTCTACGGCTCTCCATCTACGAAAAATGATTTCCCTTCCGGCCATGGTTTCCGCTGACTCTCTCGCGCACACCACGCGCACACACACACACACACACACACACACATTCTTTCGCGCGATAAACATTCATTCTATCGTGTTCTACCGTCTAATCAGTTTCACCCACGCCCGAGGGAGATTACTGGAAAACGCTACAATGTCGATGCAGTACTATCACAGTCAACTCTTTTTACGGAATAGTCGCATCCACGCTCATGGAATTCTAAACGCAGTACGGCTTTTTTTTCTGTAACACGGCTGTAAGTTCTCTCTCTTTCTCTCTCTCTCTCTATATATATATATATCTTGCGTTTTAGTTGCCTTGTACAATAGTCTCCCTCTGTGTATGTCCTTCGTTTATTTGTGTATATGTGTGTGTGTATCAATTTGAGAGTACGTATATGTGTGTGTCTCTGTGTGTGTATATATATATATATGTATATATATATATCTCCTTTAAGGCAACCGCCGTAAATTGAATAAATCCGCATATACGATTATACTCGATCAGCATGTAGAAATGTAACGAGGAATCCGTCGGCGCCGTCCTCTTCTCTCTCCTCTCCTTGGACACGATGATTCATCCGTGTGTGTGTGTGTGTGTGGAATATTCTTCGGGGGAAGGGTGGACACAGGGCCAGTTTGTCGTTACGAATTTTACGTAGAATAACGAGAGCAAGCAGGGCACATTTCCTAGGCATATTACACAGTATGTACAGAATTGGTGCTTCGTCCGCTCGGCTGTAACTCGAATTCCTGAAACAAAGAAGATCACCGTCTGGTCCTTTACCTCAAATCACTACGGAAGATACACAGGGGAATTCCTTTTCCCCCATTGGCTAAACCTGTATATCTCCGTTAGGATACCTAACTTAGGTAACTTATTAAGTTATCATTGGCACAGCGTAGCTCTGAGGCGCGTATCGAATACCTTAGTCAGCAATGGAAATCTCTGATAATTTTGTGTACAAAAGAGATTGAGAGAAAACGGGTGGTCGTTCGATACAAGCAAATGGACCGAGTGCCGTTAGTGTGGATCACAGTCTGTCGGAAATGTGTGAGAGGACTCTTTTTGTTAATTACAACGGAAGCGTTAATTACAGTTAATCGGAGATCTGTACAAAGTTTCTCAAGTGTTCGTTCGACATCGATCTGTTCTTGATCGAGAAAATCTCTACCGCGCAGTGAGACGAGGGGGATAGATACCTAATCTCTTCACAGAGCACCGAATGGATCGAGTTGGACTGCATTATTTTGTGGTTGTGCAGCAGCCTGGGGTTGCTGCTGCTGTGGTTGTTGTTGTTGTTGTTGCTGGAGGTTACCGCCCATCATGAGATTCGCGTTGGGCATCATCATCGGCGCGGCTCCTCCTGCAACCATCATGCCACCAGGACCGGCAGGTATTGCGTTCATCATTGGCCTCATGCCCTGCATGCCCATTGGCACTCCTTGCATTCCCTAGGGACACCAGAAAGCCGCCCGATCAGATCCCATGCCCTGTACTTCTGGAACGTTTTACCATTTTTTTTTTTGTTTTTGTTTTCTCGAGTCCATTTGTTTTTCAGGTTCTCTTCCTTTGATATTCAACTCTCATTTCCAAGGACTCGACAGACCACTTGTTTGCGTAGGAACCGAATAAAGGTTAAGTATTGGTCGTGTTTGTAATTTATTAGACCGTCAAAGCTTGTCGACGGTTCGATTTGCTGTTTGTAGTGTTATGATTCGAGACTGGATATCGTACAGTGATGTTACAGTAATGTGTTTGGATACATAAAGTGTATTTACAAATGTTTCTATTTACAATAAGAATATCCCTGCTCGCACACAGTATTCCTACTGGTGAATAGAATATCCACGTGTGGGCAGCATTCGAGTAACACAGAAAGAGACAGAAAATCTACTCTAGACTAGAGAAACTAGTGTTCCGCGACTAAAACACACACGTGTGCATCCAAAATGTACATAATTGTATGCAGAAGCGAGGGAGAACCAAGGTGCAGTAATAACAGTAGAAATTTCAGCATTACAGTGGACTATTCCAGCGATTGTATGGATATATCTCTATCAGAGAAACGTGTCGATCTGATTCAGTTGCCACTCAGCTATTCAAAGGATTAATATTTTCTTAACAAGGTACCTTGTGAAATTTCATACACATTCCTTCTTTTCTATGGAGAGTTAGTAACGACACGCTTTGTTACACTGCGGCGGCAACGTGAAACAGATAGGTTGTGTTTTTTCCACAAAGTCGAACTTACCAGAGCTGTAGAATGGGGAGGAAAGCCCAGGGTGGTTGAAGGAAGTTGCGTCATTCCTTGACCCTGCAACAGCCGGTAGCATGCCATATGCCATGCATGCATCGTACAACTAAATGTGCTGATTAACAATCACCGGGTTTCTTTTATGTTCTAACTAATACGTAAGGCACATATAACTAAAGGGTAACGAATCTCTATTCTATTTCTAGTGTTGCTCTAAGTAAATAGATTTTTATATATATAAATATATACAGGGTGTCCCAAAATAGCTTTGACTCCCGGAAATGAGAAGTTCCTGGGATGATTTGAAACAACTTTTCTGCCAAGGAAGAAATTATTTCAATCACCCTAGCAATCACCCCTTTCAAGGGCTTACATGTATTCTGGGACAACCTGTATATGTTCCTTGAAAAACAGCTTAATGAGCAACGAAGCAAGCGTGCTGGTGCCGAGTCGTGTACCGATTTACGACTGACCTGGGACGGAGGCGGGTCAGGAAAGAAGTACACAATTCTCTCTGTCTAGTTCTCTTTTCTCGGCCACTGAACTTGCTCATTAATCATTCACTGTGGCGTGACCGTTATGTTTGAGATGTTTTTCTTTCAGTCATTTCGCGAACCGTAAACAGAAGTATATAAAACAAGCGAAACGGTTATCGTGGATATACGCGGAATATTTATAGTAAACAACATTTCGATAACGTGTAAGAATAGCATGCTGATAACGATTCAATGTCAACTAGCATGACTGGATAAGGTATCGACACACTTATCAGAGAGGAGGGGGCAGAAGAAATGGTATATGGAGCAATAACATTAACAGGTTCGTGGTGCAATATCGTCCTAAAGGGAGATAGTACGATAACGACGATGAAGGACAACGTGCCGATAACAAATCAACGGCTGGAGAAATGAATCAGCACGCTGAGTCACTTACCATTGGACGGTAACCAGCGCCGGTGGTGGCTGCCATTGGTTGCGGTGTCCACCCAGCTGGACCACCAGTCTTGGCAGCGTTTTTAGGCGAATTCCACTGCATTCCCCTGCGAAAAATATTCGGTTACCAGTCTCCCCGATACAAAAAACCATTATTAACCCTCGAATGGCAAGGTCGGTTTACGGTAGCTTTTTACAATATCGGTACTACGGATTGGATGGGCCCCCCAAGTTCCATAAGGTGACAAGTCTACTTGTATACCTTGTCGATGCTATAACTTGGGTAGGATACGATTCAGACCTTACCATTAGAAGGGTTTAAACTGTTTACTCACTTGACTTGCTGCTGCGCGCTCTTGTTGATAGTCAGATTCTGGGCAAGACTGGCAAGACTGCTGTCCAAGTCACCGGTCAGGACTTTCCCAGTGGACGCCACGTTCGGCTGCTGCCCTGCCGCTGAAATATGATTATCTCCAGCTACAGTGGCAGGCATCAGGACCGAGTCCAAACTGTCAAAACCTAAGCAACATCTACGTCAGCCAAAGCCCCACAAGCAGAACCGAAAATGGTGCGCGTATTTTGTCACAGAAATGAGAAAAATAATTATGTTTTAATCTAAGAAAAGAGCATGGATCTTTACGCCAACGGCTACTGCACGATGAATGAAAAAATGATGGACAATAATGTCTACGAGTGGAAAAGAAAAAGATTCGAGATGTTTAAAGAAATGTAACAGATCATTCGAGGATCAATCTTTGTACACGTTACACCAAGATGCCATGCTTTTTTTCTTCTAGAAAATTATTTGAAAAAGTGTGAACACATCGATCATTTATCTATTTAAATGACAAACTAGGTGTCTCCTTTATCCTATAATGTATACACAACGTGAGTGATTATAGGCAAAAAATGATTAACTAATGAGATGATACGTGTTCAAGCATAGCAGTGTACATTTAATGACCGCAGAACGAATAAGAATCGCTAATACTGCCAGTCTTGGAGTACGTACTCTATGTCTACGGACAACTAAAAACTCGTTTTATTCGATCGAATAATTTCAGCCTCCTCTATTACTACACAGTCTAACAAAATGACAGATGTATAATCGATCTACCACGTTAACAGCTAATCTAGTATGCATATATGCCAAGTGTTCCAGAGTCCCGTTACAACGAGAAGCAGCCAACTATGTTACACACATCGTCTATTCACGCTGTTGCTACTTCCTATTCGAAGTCTACAAAATCCGATGTGAACACGGTGTTCCTCGCTACCATAAGCAGAAATCCGTGGGTGAAAATTCATCAAACAGTGTTTCAATCGTCGATTGTTAGACTACGTTGCAACCAAATCAACTGGCTAGTCGGGGCCGTGAGACGAAACTCACCTACAATGTCTGTGGGAGAATTACTTCATACTTATATATTCGGCGGCTACGACAACTAACAATGGAGAGAAACGCAGGTCTAGTGGTGGGTCTTGCAAACCGTTCAAACGTGTGCTTGGACTTCCGTCACGAGTCGTTTCAACTGGCCAGAGGTTTCTCGAAGCGAGGCTATTCAAACCTTGTCTCGATAACTCGGTTTGGACCGCTAACCCTCATCCGTCCCTTGTGTCAATTTGACACAGTTTTCTTCTCCTAAGAAATAACGTTATTCTTTCATGTGTAGATACATTTTTTTAGCGGACGCTTCGTGACTTTTACTTTAAAGATTTGTGGACTCTCAACTCTATTCCACTAAATATATTGCCAGGTTGCGTACGCCGGGGCAACCAGCACAGAGGGAGCTCTGAACACATTGCCATTTCACTCCCCTACAGCTCCGACCATTGGCAATATAGTAAGAGTCCATTGTATTAGTGTTTACCACTGGGTCGATTTGACACAGAGAGACAAATTAAGTTGGAAACTGTTAACAAACATCATGTGATCACAGAGGAGCAAACACGTGTGAACAAAATATCCAGCACGTCCACTCATAAAGGACCAAACACGTTTGGACCATAGATCCAGGTTTACCTGCGGACCCACCGCTACACGCGGGTACAGACAACTGAGCCCGATAGAGTACGTATTCCGTGAACCTCCAAAAGCATCGCCGATACTTTCCGTCAGGGCATGCAAAAACACAACAGAAGAAGAAGAAGAAGAAGAAGAAGAAGAACCATCAATGCATTCCCGTCACCTGGAATCGGCTGTTTTGCCGGGGAACCGTATCCCGCCGGGACTTGGGTGGGAATACCGTAGCCAGCGGCTGCGGCCATCGGTCCTCCTCCTCCACCAGGCATACAAGGCTGCCCGGTGGCGGCGGTGGCTGTCATATTACCGGCCATATCGAACATGCCGAAACCCTGTTGCGTAGGAGGAGAAGGATGTGCTTGTTGCGAGGATGTTAAGGCCTGTTGCTGAGCGACGGGTGCCGCGCGTGACGGAGACCCGCCCAGTGCCATACGAATGCTGTCGTTCAGATCGTCGAACGCGCTCTTGCCAGGAGCGGCGTTGGCCATGCCAGCTTGACCAGCTGGTCTGCCACCCGCCGCTCCGTGTACCATTGTCGACAACGGTGACGCGGGTCTCGCCGCGCCACTCGCGCCGGCGGCTGTCGCGGGAGGCGGCGGTCTGGGAGGCGGCGTGGCAGTGGACTTAACACCGCCACCGGAGGCAAGGGTCGCAGCTGGGGACGCGGTGTCTACGGCCACGTCCCCGGCGCCACCGTCCGCAGCGTGTCGGAGCACTGCAGAGTCGCTCCCAAAGAGGTCTGCCTGACCGCCAGCGGCAGCACTGAACAGGTCTCCGCCGTGATGCGATTGTAGCTGTTGCGACTCAGCCCCGCTACCGGGATTCTCCTGGCCGGCGGCACCCTGTTGCTCGAAGAGACCGAAAGCGGCTGCTGCGTTGGACTGTTGCTGCGACGGCTGGGAACCGAGGGAGGGGAAGTCGGACATGAATGGGTTCGGTACAGATCCGGCCGGTCCTGGGGCACCAGCTTGCGCAGAAAATCATCAATGTGCATCGATTAGCTTCACACGCAGACGACTCGGTTCGGTTATAATATACAGGGTGATTTAAAAATTGGTCCACGCTTCTAGGGTAGTTAGACTCGGAAAATTATGAAGAAATGTCCTAGAAGACATGGGCCGACAAATATTTACGGAGTTATGAACAATGGTTTGAACAATGAACTTGTTTACTAGGACATTTCTTCGTCATTTAACCAGTACTATCTACCAGTTGAAGTTATGAAACCTTTTCTTGGATCATCCTGTATATAACTGGCGAGGTCGTCGAGGAACTGCGGGGTTCGCCTTGAGAGGATCACACCGTGAGCGCAGCGTGCACACCGTTCCGCGTGGGGAGGACTAAACAATGAATAAAATGGTCGGGGGATGAGAATGCCGTGTATGTGTGTGTGGATCGCGACGCGATAAGAAACATCGTTGCTCTATGGAACTAACAGGTATATACGCGGTGACGTTATTTTTGGCATCTATGAGAAACCGTATATAACACAGTCTGTTGATTTGATATTTAATGCGATGATACATATTAGGGATACACTTCAAATGTATCGCCATCATTAGCGTGTGTGCCCGGTTTCTTTTGATCTTGTTGTAACATCGATGCTTCTTACCCACGTTTCGACTTAGTCTCATACACCACGAAGGACATTTACTCTCTCAAAGTCTGATTGTTAAACGTTTTCTAATTAGTATCCGAACTATGGGTTCATCCTTGTGTATGTGTGTGTGTGTGTGTGTGTGTGTGTGTCTTGCTGGATAGGAATGTCCCGGGGACATTCCTAGCAGGCAACTTTTTAAATCAGGATTAACACTTGCACAGGCATCGGTCACCTATGAATCTAGACAATTTAGTAAGATGCAACGTTTTAAGCGGTTATATATTTTTTGCGGCAAGAAGAAAAGGGGGAATGTATTATGTACAATGTGTGAACGTGGAGATAGAAAGAGAGAGAGAGAGGAGAGTGAGAAAGGAAGAAATGGTGCAAAGAATAAAAAGTTCTCTTGTAAATTCCGAAGAAATAGGATACTTACCGGACTGTGAGTCTTGATTACCGAACACGGACGAGAAGCTGTTATCTGTAACAAAGTTATTATTTGCCGGTGGCACTGCGGCGAACCCTACAAACCAAAAATAAAAAGGCACCGATGAGAAAACGTGTAACAATGACCACGACGTCGACGACGATGATGTAGGTTAAAAAATAAATACACAGTTGTAATGATTTTGATAAAAAAGAAAATAAGAAAAAAAAACAAGAACCTATATTTACCGTTACCGTTAGTCATCCACATGTTGTTCTGCGGCTGCGTGGCGGTTTGACCGGGTGCAGGCTGCGGTGCACCAAACATATCAGCGAACGGATTTCCCGCTAACTGGAGCAGATCATCTGACGCTTTTTGCGACTGAAAGCAGCAACAAATGGAATGTTTAAGCGGCTAAATTATCAATCTCACCGCGACGAGGTGAAGACACGCAGCGCCGGATATAATCAAGCGTTCGTTAGGATCAAATGATATTTAATTTTACTTGGAATAAATTTCAATTTTTTAAGATTAATCTATGTTATTGTATACCTGACTGTCATTGGTTCCTGTCGTCGGCGCGCCGAACAGATCCACGATTGGCTGATCAGCGTTGTTCGTTGGTGAACTGAGGAACGGATTCGTGCTTGGCCCGGTCGATGGGGATTGCACCTTTGCCTGGAACGTCCAGGTGTACAATGAAATCGACTTACTCTGAACACTTACACTACTTAAATACTAGTACCACAGACGAGATATAAGAATAGGCCTAAACTCTTCTGGGACTTGATATCCCATAAAAATCACGCTGGTTTGAGTACACATTCCACACAAATGTTTCTGATTTCAGAAACCACTAATAAGGATTTCAAGAACTACTAATAGGGGGGAACCACTAAATGGTACGGGAGGGCTTCTGACGCCCCCGAAGCATGTGACAGAAAATTACCATGCCATGTTAGGTCTATTCTTATATCTCGTCTGTGCTAATACATAATCCAAATGGTCCTTTCCCCTGGCCACAGAGTGTGCAAAAAAAAAAGGTTCTTGTACCTTGTACTGGTTCATAGCAGCCTCCTCTTCGGCGAGCGCCTGCTGCCTCAATGCTTCGTCGATGTGTCCATTCCCGGTGTGGTCGAGGCGATTATTACTGGCTGCTGTTCCAAACGCAGTACTGGTGGAAGACAGGGCGGACACTCCCGACTTTACATTCGTTCTATTGCTGCTTTTGGATAATGATTGGGCACAATGGATGTGTTCTCGAGATGGAGCGGTGTGGATCGACAGACAGAGAAAGAGAGAGAGAGAGAAAGATAGAGAGACAGCGAGAGAGAGAGGGGGGGGGAGGAGCCAGGAGGAGAAGCCGTTTCAGCGTAGTCGAGAGTGTGGCCGAAGGAGCGAAAAGGAACGTTGATCATTGAAAACAAAGGAAGAAGACAAACAAAAAAACAAAGAAACGGTGTAATATGTATAAAGATATAAACGATGTGTAAAAATGTTTCAACTAGTCAGTGCACCCAACATACGCCCCCACACAACCACGCACTTGCAACACCAGGCACACATGCTTAATGCAACTTGTTTGTTATTTTCTTTGTACAGAAATCTTTCACACTCGGCAATATTAGCCCGGCTACTTATGTATTCTTTTTTTTTTTTTAGAAATTAAACCACACAAGCGACTGTACGTAAAAACTCGTTTCACCTAATAACAGTGTGTGTACGTGGTGTTTTACATTAATCAGTGTAAACGAAAACACAACAAAAAAAAGATACGTTTCTCCCCTTCTCTTTGCTACTTTGCTACAGCACACACACACACTTGCACGCGCACACACGCATATACAGTAATGCCTCGATAAGTGGGACAATGATCAAAGCAGAAAGGTTGTCAGAAAATTATTTTTTTGCCCCAAGCCCAGACTCTGCTCAGCTTCTGTTTATTCTGTTTTAATTGGTTCCGTAGGGGGACTCGTGTCGCATTCATCGAGGAATCATTGTATACAGTTTTACTTATGTGCAACAAAGTATCTCGCCTAGCTTCTAGCTTCTGATTTCTGTATGAATCAAGTGTCGGGTATCAAGAAAGAAAATTGTTGTGCAACAATGTACAAGCCGATCGTTAAAGATTGTATATTTTGGCCCCGGGTGATCGGTTTTTTAATTGCAAATGGTGAACACAATCGAGTGACTACTGTACACAGAAGAGATTTCAATCCTACAAACGTGTCTTTTATACATCGTACGTGTGAATTTCGCGATCGTAGAATGGCTAATTTGGCTAATCAGGGTTTTATTCGAAACTGTATAGAGAGTTAAGAACTGAAGAGAGAAAAGAAACCTTCGATACGTGCAATAATCAATGGTAAAAGTATGAAAAATATATATGTATATATATATATATATACATATTCTGCGGATGAAACTCAAGTACTCCAGATTTGCAAGCCAAGTGAAACTTCAGCGAAACAAGATCTACTGCTGCTGCTCAAAAATTACTGATCATCTGTGACAATCAAGATAACATAAGAATACAGAAAATGAACATCAAATAGAAACACATCAACTATACAAGCGATCCACAACTTTTGAGTAACAGTGTGTATAGTTTGCAGCTCGAACAAAAAATATTTACCTAGAAATCAAGAAACAACAAACAATTCAAGATACGAACACAAGGCTGAATAACTGCAACCATATATAAACCGCAACGTAAAAGACTAACGAAACACAAAAGAAGGGGGGTGAGGCGAGAAAGATCTCTCGAACCAAAAAGAAAAAAGCATATCTTTCCAAGCAACTTAAAGAAACAAAAACAAATGACCACATTACCTTTCACCCTACAACTTACAAAAACATTTTACGAGGAACACAGAATGATCATCGGTCGGATGTAAAAAATGGGATTTGTATTTTTGTGTTTGTTAGAATTTGTTGAGCAGTAACGAAGGAGACAGTCTGTTGGGGAATTAAATACCTATACACTCTTGTTGATCAACGCTACTATGCTTTTTCTTTTTCTTTCCAAACAAAGATGTACGTATCTCGCGGTCGATCACGTTTCACATTTTACCTTTCTACTTGAGAAATTAACGTACAGAGAACGTGAAACATTCTTCGAAGTTAGATCTCGTATTTAGTCCTACTCTGAACGTTAACACAGAAGATTCAGTCGTATATACGAATTTGTAATCGACGTACCTTGCAGACTGCGTGGGAGTGTTCGCCGCAGAGCCTTTCTTCCCTTCCAGCGAGGCAAGATGCTGTTCCAAAGCGTCCAGTAAACTACTCGGAGCCTGAACAAATCCTATTATTAATAAATGGTTACCTGTTTTTTTTCATGGATATATAAAAAGTTTAAATCCGTAATAAGACGTCACTGACAGCGTATACGAAGCATTTCATTACCTTTGTTAGATCAGGTATTTCTCCTTTATCAATGCCGACGTTCTGAAAAAGCGGTTGAAAATCAATTCTAAAGGATTACCCAAAGCGACCTACATACTACGAACAGTGATACCACCTTACCTCGGCGACTTTCAAGAATTCACCGACCCGATCCATTCTTATGAGAAACTTCTTGTATAAGTCTAGGGCCTCGCGGCATTGCTTTTTATTCATATCAAAATACTTTTCTGGAATTCAAGGAATTAACGTCTCGTAAAGCGTGTCTAGAATTTCTTTTTGGGGATAAAGAAAGTGGAGGAATTGAACGTCGGATGTCTCACCTAACAGATTAATAATGCCATCGTTGTAGCAGGCGAACAGTCGGATCAGATCTCGAAAAAGAAGCATGAAAGCCATATTTATGACCCCATTCGTGAGATCATTTGCTGTGCAATCGAACTCCAAAAGTGCGTCCAGCTGCGACTGCAACACCGGAAGAGTCTTCAGCAATTTCTCTGCATTCATTGTGCGCAGGGTGCCAACCTCCTTCCTGGAAGAGAATTTATTATTAGTGTTTTATCTCTCTGTGACTGAGATTTATTCCTAAAAAATTAACATCTGAACATCACAAAACACTGCGACTATTTCCTTTTTTATATGCTTCCTCTTACCCTCTCTTCATTTTACAAAAGTCGAACGCCACGGTCCTGTAGGAAAGAGCCTTCTCGTTGAGGTACTTTGCGTATCGTCTGATGAACGGTGACATATCATAGCCTGACGAATAAGAAACACAATGATTCGTTAAATGCCAATGCCACGGTGAATGGGGGAAACCTTTCCACGACATTGCATAATTCCGGATAAAATAACTGTATATTTCGCAATAGTTCGTCACGTTACCAAGATTAATGATCGTGTGAAAAGTAAAAAAGTCAAATTAATTCGGTGCCTTTACCACAGACAAGGTATTTGACATTTCATCAAATGTATTTTTCTTAGCCCACTTTTATGGGGCGACCTGGCCCCATATCCATTTTAGTGTCACTATCCACCGCAGATTCTCCGTTCTAATAACGTAGAGGTCGTTAAAATCACAGGCTTTTTGAGGTGTCGGTAGTACAGTTTTTAAAACGTCTATTCTTATACCTCGTCGGTGCCTTTACATTGTACAGGTATGGGTAAAATTTGAATTTAAATATTTTCCCGGCTATCTACGATTTCTCGCAAAAACACCATGTTTGTAATTACCGTTGATCGAGTTCGATCCATTGACATTATCTACAACATTTCACAGGATCACCAGCCTTGTTGGTAGCAACACAATTCATTTCAGAGTCATTTGATACAGGAGAGAGAGACCGAGAGGAATTTCTGATGGTGCAAAAACATCTGCGTGCAAGTGCAGCGCACAGGTGGAAGCGTGGGAGCGTTATTAAAATTATCGATCCTGACACGCTTTCGGTCCGAAAACGAATGGAGTGCGTCACGCGAATAAATTCGTCTCGGTCTATCCCTGTGGAAAAACGAAAAGAAAAATGACGGTTATAAATTTCATTAGAAAGAGAAAAGTCCCACAAGAACTTGTTGATCCCCGAGAGAATTTCTAACGGATTTCATGCGGTTTGGATCACACAACCATAAATTTTACATTATAAAAATACCAACAGCCTTCGGTTATTAGCTGATCCAAAGAGTTATGAACTCGGGAGAGATTAGACAATTAGGGAGACAGAAAAGGAGTATGATTAAGTGTTAAACTCACCGATACATGCTCCTGCAGTTGCCGTATAGAGAGAAAATTAGTTCCAAGTTAGTAAATCATAGACAAATGCCAGAGACAGATAGCTGTAGATTGCTAAGAAGTTAGTGAGAGAGATCATCAAGTTTTTTTACTTGAACCTGGATAAATGTGTGCACACATGTTTGAAACAAAGAGTTAACTAAAGATCTGAATTAAAACCGCAACTAGATATCCGGTGGATTCCTGATAAATCTTGCAAGAAACGAATCCACAACGTTCAAAGTTATTAACAATTTGTATTGTGCACGCATGCATAGTGCATTCAACATAACGGTAACGTTACGTTCAGCCGGAATGGTTAACAGTTCAAAGAAAGAAAGCAAAAACAATCTCATACTACTTGAAGTGGTTCAATCATCTATTTTTTTACCGATCACTGGCTCGACATGTTAGAGAAGATTCGTAATAAATATTAATAATAATATATTCCACGTCGATTTTTGTAAATTTACAGTTTTTGAATCTACCTCTGAGGGATTGCTTTCCAACTTATCGAAACGTGTACTCGTCCGACAACAATATCAGAATTATTTCTAGATGCACGTAAATATTAAAAAAGCAGCTAATTGAACCACTCGACTCGGAAGTTAATGCAATATACTCCTTGAAGTAGAGTGTTCACCTTGCAGGCCGCTTTTGTCAAGAAAATTACTGAGCTGAAACGTGCTGTTGCTGGATGCCAGATACTGTGTGAACCTCTGCAACAGAAAGGTCAACGCACGATTAATACACATAAGAACCCGTCGAATACGACTGCAATTGTACATATGACTATCGACGTTACGCGAAATAAAAAAAAAAAACAAAAATGGCAAAGGAAACGTGATTCTATGTAATAACACGTTTGACACGTGATAGAGTAGTCCTGAACTACGCGTGTTCAAATTGCGAACGCTGGACTTCGATCCAGACCATTCGATCCCGAGCATACGTTCATGCAAGGGCGACGACACTTCCCCTCTTCAACTCATTACTGAACCTGAAATGAGTTAGACGACCTCTGAACTAATGTAAATAATACTCTGAACGAACGACTGCGATTCACAGTCCACCGACAGACACTGTTTTCCACGGTATTCCGAGGGCCCGTAACTAAATTTCAATTGCTATTTCGTTCTCGAATATTTTCTTCGATTCTCTATAAAGTATCGTTACCATCTACCGTTGCGTTACCGATCGGACCAAATGGATCCTCTTGAACTGCACAGTGCACCCAATGTAATCAAGAGTATAAAAGAGGGATCTGGAATCGGTATAATGGAAAGCCAATTAAACGAAGCAGAAACGTCGCCCTTGCATTTGTTTTCCTTTTAATTAAATTCTTCGCCGTCCTGTACGGAAGAGGCTCGTCTACCTGCAAGAGGAGCTCTCGTCGAGGAAAAGCTCTTGTAAGTTCCGTTTTGTATTGCAGAAAGATCTTTTACCTCATTGCCGTAACAAAGCATATGGTGCACCGTGATCAGAGCTTTGAAAACCACCGTCCAATTTGTGTTCTGGGACCGTTCGATCAGCAGATTCGCCAGCTGCGGTATCGACACATTCGGTTCGTTCGTGCAGTGGATTAAATCTGAAACGAGAAACGATATTTGTAAACTATTTATATTATAAAAATATTTGCTTCATGTTCGTGTAACGGTTGCCGAGTAATTTCAATAATTAAACACTGCCTGGTCCCTGCGAATTTTTCTCTCGATTGCCTCTTCGGCGCAAGAGCACACGTTCTTCCAGAGTAGTGATGGCGATACGAAAATATCGATATTACCGGTACCGATACGCACAATTAAATTGGAAGTAATAAAATCCAAAAAGATACAAAATAACGATATCTGAATTGAAAAGTATCGATATTCGAAATATAAACCGATATCGCCCATCGCTATTTCAGAGTCTTAAACGATTAAACGCAGCCACAGTTCCAGTCCCAATTCCCGTTAAACAGGACGGACAAATTCCCGTCTGGAAGTAGCTTTATCGGTCCTCTGGACTGACAGAAGATATCGCACGAGCGAACAGAACCATTTAATCTCCCTTGTTTTCCCTGCATCTGTCGGAACGGGCATCTTCGAGCTCACGACTTGGAGTTACACCGTAACGACCGCTAATTGAAAGAGCAAAGTGTCAGAGACCACGGATTCTCTCTGAGTCTATTCTCCAGACAGCGTACACATCGCGATGGAACGCAAATCGTGAATCGATGGCTCGTCCCGTGAACGAAGAAAAACAAGGAACAAGAGCGAACCAGTTATCCGTGGCGCTTCCATTCAACCTGACGCACGGCGCCCGGACACGTCCAATTGGGAAGCCGTGAAACGGTCCATTCAACGAAATCAAAGTATTTTCCGACAAGGCGCTGTTCTGTCCCATCTATCGAATGACCTTGAACGACCAACTTTGCGCCTCTATAGTTACATTTGCATCAGAGTGCATATATAACTATGGATCCTATATGTGTCTATGTACACCTAGGAGCAAACTCGGCTTCCACTAGGGGAAAAAGTGGCGTTGGAAAAAGGCCTCCTAAAATTTGGTATCGGGAATTACTGAAATTTATAGAAAATTAATATTTGATTTAACATTTATTTTAGTACCTGTGATTAATTTTACCAAGTGGTAGGAGGCCCTTCTCTTACGCCACTTTTTCCCCTGGCGGAAGCCGAGTTTGCTCGTCAGTGTACATACTCGACACTATCATTCAACAATCCTGTAAATTCATTGCGAAATAAGCTTGTCATCTACCAAAAAACTGTACGACGTCGAACGAAGTATTACAGTAGAAAGATTATTAATTTAACGGCAACAAACGAGGAGGAAAAGCTCGACTGGCTGACACAAAGGGCTAAATATCGCGGAGCTGTTTTGCAACCGGTTTCTAAGAATAACCACATACACGCGTTCAAAAGCATCGGTGTTCCGTGGGGCACGAAGGAACGCGTCAAACGTGCCGCCACGTGTCGCCTGGTGCTGTTTACAAAAAGAAAAAAAATATCCCCTGTTCCTCCGCGTGTCAACAACTATTTCCTGTTCCTGTATCGCGAAAGGTCCTCCTCTTTCTCTTGCACAATTCCAGGGGCGGCGGTTCGGCTTATAGAGAACCTGCAAAACACAGCCCCGATTGTGTGTGTGTGTGTGTGTGATTTCTCCGCGTGGCCACGACTGTTTATTTTCAGAGAAGAAAGTGCATCGCCAAGCGGGACGTGCCAAACCGACGACGTGCACACGGGCGACCTTGCAGCCGCTTCCTCTTCTAATAATGAACGTTCTACCAAACAAAAGGAAAACCGTTTCATCCCCATTCATCGTGTGTGGTCCTGGTTCGGCAAATGACCACCACCAAAAATATATACAGTAATGTCTCGATGAGTGAGACGGTCTTGGGTCTCTCATAAATTTGTTTTGTATTCGAAGCTGAACCTTTGCTTAGCTTCCATTTACTCTGTATTGATTTGTTCCAGAAGGGGACCCTCCAACGCCGTAGTTCGTGTCGCATTCATCGAGGAATTACTGTATCAGGACAATGACGCCATCCCCAATCATTTCTAATTCGCAGGAGCTCGTGAACCTGACGTTTCGTTTGCTCGCCAGGAAAGACAGCGTAACAAGTGTGGAAGCCACACCGTGCACGCAGCGGAAAATCAATAATCGACCCTTCGCCAAGGGCGCCTCTTGCAAGGTGGTGGGTGAAAAAAGGCGCTGGAAGAAGAGAGTAGAAAGAAGTGGGTTAGTAAAGTGGTCGAGGAACAGAGAGAAACGAAAGGAACAGAGGGAAAATACCAGTCGCGTGAGCCCGAACCCACGCACAGTCGGCTCGGTGACCTTGAACCCAGCAACGTTTTTCTTTTTGCTTCAGGTTCGTCGAATCGGCGACAGACTTAACGCAGGAAGTAATTTTCCGAGTGCTCCTGGTGGTGGCTCGTTGCAATCGATCCGAGAGACCTCGTCTCGGTCTCCCCTTGTTTGCTCCTTTGGATTTATAAATAAACAACGGTTAGCAACGACGCGTGATCGTATCCACTGCGTATAACATTGATAACATTGCGAAGAGACGTTTATCGAAAGCCCCATTGGGATGCAAGAGGAAATTTACTGATCGAACAGCTGTCAGTGATTAGCAGCACGGCGAAAAATTCACGGAGAAATACACTTACAACCATGTTTATCGGACCTTATCTGCAAGTTTCGAGGGGTGTGTACGCTCAGATGTATTCCCCGCGTTCGAACGGGGGCGTCACCGATAACTTGTTTTGGTAAGACGATAGCTGCCCGCAACAGTCACCGGGATCATCAGCAACAAATGGAAAACATCAGAATTTAAATATTTCTCGTGTCCGTTGGCTCGCCACGCTTCGATCTTCTGTGAACCTGTTTTCAGTCACTGAAATGCCAACGGTGACTTTTCGAACTTATTCCAGGATTAAGGGTGTCCAGTCGGTACGAAGTTATCGACAAGGGACATCTAGAATCGGAAAACACGAAATTTTCACTCATCTTACGAGAGAAAACGACTTCTTCTGACATGGGTGATTGAAAATAATTGTCGTACAACGATTACAGAATAAAAACTATGGGAGCAAGTGATGATACAAGCCAGAACTACCGATCGAATCGAATTATAATTGCCTGCGTCGGAAAATGGAACGTCCCCGAAGGACAGTCTATTACCATCCAAGTTAAGAAACAGAAGGCGTGAGAAAATCGTAACGAACCATGTACATATACACATACAAGGGGGGATATCGATGAGACCGGCTATTGTAAAAATCCTCGCCAGGCGATTCATCGTACAATGCTCGCTGCAATTACGCCGGCCCGAGTGAATTGCACAATAATCGACGGGGTCTTAGAATAGATAATTGCAGGTGCTTTTCAGCGTCATGCGTTTACATATTGAACCGTCGCGCGTTACGTAAATGCCGGTCGATAATGAATGAATTCATGAACGAGTCGTTGAACGTCAGAAGGCTGTCTGTCTCCCGCGAACGTGTCGATGAAAGAGCACACGTCGATACCGATCACGGGGGGGACGAGTAGAATCTGAGCGAAAGCGGTAATTCTAGTGCGATAAATTCCCATGTAATTGCGGGGAAAAGTTGTCGTTCGAACGAGCGCCCCCTCCCCCGCCGCAACCCGTTGTACATGTCCGTAAAAAAGGGCGACGCGTTGCCCACAAAGAGACGCACGGCCAAATATCATATCGACGGACAGATTGGTGCATCCACTTATTTTTAGTGTGATCATCGTTCATCGACGTGGCCTTCGAAGAGAAAGAGAACGAGCAATCGGTTACGATCGTGAGGTCATCGGCTGAGAATCAAGTGTACGGCCGATCGATACGCAGACGGAATCTCGGGGACCGAGAGAGGTAAACCGGGGGAGCAATGCTAGTGGGCATGTGCGAAAGTTCAGTGGAATGGTACAGTGTCTATTCCGAGATCGATTCGATCCTTCCTGATCCTCAGGGTCCTTCTGGAACTGTTCCCATCTTTCCTTCTCGCTCGGTAATTCCACTACCACCGCTTTCCAGTCTGAAACCGACCGAGGTAATTATTAAAAATTGTACGACTAGATGTCCGTGACCTAAAAAAAAAAGTCTTTAAGCCGTTGTTCCCAATGCAGCAGCGTGTGTGCCTTGTTATATTTCGAAAGAATTGTAGCATCGTCATTTTAGACCCGATCGCATAATCGAGGACAGATTTATGCCTTCTAAGGAAGAAAACGGTGGAATGGGCTCTCTTAACCTTACTGATTGTGTCACATTTTATGTAGTCTCTGTGAACGGTCGTTCGAAAAACGGCGACAAACACGACCGAGGAAACTGTTCGCCGCGTTTACAGCGTGTAAGGAATCCTCGAACGTAATATTTAATTGCCGTGTATAACCTTATCGTTAATTCCACGCGACAAGAAATATTCAATGATTCACCGATGACGCGTCAAGTCTGCGTGGCGGCAGATGGCAAGTTCAGATAAATATTATGTCGAACAAAGCCTAACATTCATGGTATTTCAAAGATACACACAGCGGTACGAATTATGATAAGGGAATCAGAGAGAAACAGAGACATAGACAGGAGAATAATTCGAACTCGACGGACGTTCAGGCGCGACAAAGGCATCATCATCGACGGGAATTCATTTCACTATCTAAATTAGCAGACCGGAAGAAAGACCGCGAGTTCCGTTCCACTGAAACGGAAACGTGCTCTCTCGGCCCTGCTAGACGAAACACGCGTAAACATTGCGATACAAAAACGATTCCAGAACGAACGGATAAGAAAAAAGCATATATCATTTTAAATTCCAATTCACGAAACACAGCAATGTCTGGAAAAGTGCGACATATTCATGTTGGAAAAGTTTCCAGCCAAACATAAATTTATTTTTTAACACAAAGTCGAGCCTCTGTTTAGTTTACCCTGTTTTAATTGGTTCCACAAGTTGTTCGTGTCGCATTCATCGAGGGTATCACTGTATGTGTGACTTCAGTCGGAAGGACACGGTTGACAAAACCGTTACACTTGAAACGAAAATAAGATATGTACATTCGTTGACTGACGAGCAATTTTTTTTCCTTGCGATAAGATCAAACGGGGCAATTGGTAATAATTCGTGGTGACTGAAAGGTGCAAAGACCCGAGGCGCGCGTCACGCTCTCCTACAGGGATGAACTTTTTAAATTGGAACAGATACAGGTCACACCACCTACGCATATAAGATACGTTCAAAGTTTCCTAGTCGGTAATCGATTTTTTCTTTACAGCAATCACTGTCAGAATTGGATCAACCGTGATGAATCGTTTACAAAATTTTACAAATTTTACAATAGAAGTCTGATCGAACGAGCAACCGTTATATCGTGTTTCAAGATCGTTGCGCTGTTTACTAACAATCAGAGAAAAAATTTTCTGGCCTTCGGAAACAATACAAAAGCCCCCCCCCCCATTGTGTCGATAACGACCGTGGATATAATAACGGGGGGGATAGAAATATGTGTACGTTTATCACGTACGGTGTGTACCGATAATTATCGAGTAATTCATCGGTGACTTTCAAATAAGCAATTTTTCGTTTCTGTTCTGTTCCAGGTTAAGGGAACGTTATGTCACGACGAATACAAGCCGCGATTTTAACGGCAACGTTCGTAAACCGATTATATCGTAACAGAGAGAGACACGAAACTTCGTGCGGTCACGACGAAAACTCGAGGAACTACTTTCCCGTGAAACATCTGTTATCAATAAGAATCCTGTCGCGCAAAAACTTTCACTGTTACTCAACTAGAAATCGTGGTTAATCGGTGACGCGTATCTTGAAATAATGCTTCGCGATTTATCGTTGGAAACGTCGAATGCGACGTAACATTGCTCTGTCGTGGAATGTGCTTGATTGAAATTTCGCATGGAAACTACGAAAAAAAGAAATACCGACGCTCCCCCCGTATGTCAATTTCTCGGTTATCAGTCCACATGTACAAGGTTGTTACCGTAATTGTAACGTACCTGACATGTAACGTGACGGCAGGTGCTTTGCCAACGAACTATGGAATCGATACGAACACCTTCTTTGTGTGCAGTTGCCCGCGGTTCGAATAGAAATTAGACCAATTTTTTCTCTCCCCCCTCGAGGTAGGGGAATCACACCGTTCGATCGCGTGAATGGGAAAAAAAGTCAACGGCAGCGAAATTCGAAACATCATTTCTGTTGGTAATTCGGAAAATTCGATGACTCACGTCGCTATTTTCATTTGTCACGAGAGTCACTTGAAATCAATGTTCAAAAGTGACTCTTGGAGACACGCGCGTGTGTGTGTGTCTGTGTGGCCAAGCATTTTCGGCCGTTTTCCTAAGGTTCGATCCTTCCTCGATCAGCTCTATTCCCTCGCGATCCTAGCTCCACGGGAAACGTGCACTATTAATCGTCGAAACGAGGCACTTTCCTCCGCGTTACACCTCGAAATGGAAAGTAACCCGTTAACGTGTAATCTGGGGGGGAGGGGAATAGGCATGAAAGGTGCTTCTGGTGCATTGGACGTGACCAACCACACACACACACACACACAGTAACGTCACACCTCCACTTGAAGTTCATGCACCTTAGAAAATTGTTTCTACTTCGAGACGTAAAGAAACATATTCATGTATCGTCTCTTTCCCGGAACGTGTATTCGCTTTCTTGCAGTCGGGGGGGACACCAATCGGATCCCATTGACATGTCGCTGGAAGGGACCACAACGATACGGTCTTAACAATTTTCACGTTCATCCTAATCGAAAAAAAAAACTCGAAACAAACTGTAGATAATCGTGGTTTTGTTCGATCGATGGGTCGTCAGGAAGAAAGTGTACTTACAGTCGAGATGCTTCTTCTTGGGGCCTATCATCTCCTCGGTGGTAGCTTTGCATACAGATTTCGCGAGGCCCTGCCCTGCGATGCTGTGTCTAGCTGCCAGCAGCCTGTCGTTTATCGTTTGTCCCGCCATACTGTCGTCTTCGTCGACGTCGTCGTCGCCGCTGTCACACTCGTCGAACTTGTTCGAAGCTCACGGCACACCGCTCGATCCGCGCGGCGGGGTCGTTTGTAATCACCTCTACGAGATGTTGGTTCCTCAGGGTGCGACGACAGCGTCGAAACAACGTGTTACACACACACACACAACCACAGGCGCGCGGGCACACACAAAGTCACACCACTAGCCCGTGTAACTGGCGAACGAACGCGAGAACCCAGCACCGAATGAAAGAAAGGGAGAGAGAAAGAGATGAAAATACGATGTGCCGCCGGTCCCGATCCGGTTCCCTCTGATGGATCGGTTTCGCAACGCCCCCGGGTGCCGGCCTGCACTGTCGAAATCGCGGCGATTCGATCGAGCCGTGAAGCTCTCTCACGTGCGCGTTAACAACTCAGCTGGGCGGACGACAGCTCGGCTCTCACCGCGACGACGGAAGGCTCTCGCAACCAGCCAATATGGCGACCCGGACCTCCTACTCCTTCGACGGACCGATTACTCCTGACAGCCAATCCCAGTCCTCTTCCATGAACACGGCCTACAGACACTGACGTCATACCACGCTGGTCAAATCAAGTCCCTCGAACGACACGTTCAAAGATATCCTGGGAGAGGCTTTTTTTTCTTTCAATTTCATGAATTAACATCGCCGTTTAACAATAATCCTCGATCATTTCCGAGACGTGCTTGTTCGATCGCTATTCTTTCCAGTCATGAATCGAACAGAACGTTTTTCGGGGTTCGCGTGACCTGAAAACGAGAAGGAGAATTAGTTTGAATGAAAGAGAAATGACATGTAATGTTTTAGAAATAGGGAATAGGAAAGGAGGATATCGTGAACAGGAGTTTGTAAAAAAAATATCGATCGAAAAGGGTGTCACCGTCACCGGTTTAATCGATAACTGTGGTCCAATTTTCTGCGCATATATATTCTCTGCCGTTTACTCCATCTAGGGTATATTTTATCAATGATCGAACGTAAGAACGAGGTTATTTATATTCTGTCATAAATTTTGAATATTGAGTATGTAACGAAAATTTGGGTGTCAACGTGGATAATATATATAAAAGTAGAAAAAATATGTGGCGCCGTCTACGGCAAAACGCTCAAGCTGCTAACCAATTAGTATTGCTTTCGCGGCAGTAGATGGCGTCACTGTGCAAAACAGCGGCCAAGTTTGAAAAATTAAATATTCATTAACGAATTGAAACTACACTAAAATCTTCTGTACTGATATTATTGAACAGTAACCTCCGTTTATAATTAATATTTAATTTTTTCTGAAACTGTAATCACAAAAGTAGAAAATTAATTGGCTAATAGTTCAAACATTTTCCCAAAGATGACGCCACGGGTGTTACGACCACATTTACAAATGAATTTACTTACTAAAATTAAATATTAATTATAAATGTCACAGTCAACAATTATATGCACATACAATTATACAAAATGTAGATGCAACAATCACTCTGACATTAGTAAAAAAAGCACTGTACTGTTCGATATATATATGCATAGATGAAGATAAAAAATATACATTATTTCTGTTGATTACCACAAATGTATATAGTTTTAAACATATATGCAACAAAGTATATTACGTACATACGTTCGTAACTACGCAATTTTATATTAGCAAATTGACACTAATAATCTAAATCAAGGAACATTTGTATTTATAATGCAAAAATGCGAATATCAATGTTGGTATGAGTACCGGCCAGCGTGGTAGAAATTGAAAGAAAGATTCTGGAATCAATTTGAATTTCAAAAGCGTTATATATAAATATTTTGCGAAAATGGGTACGTAGATCCAACGATTTATAAAGCAGTGGAAGTTTACAAGTTACGGAAATATTAAATGTTATCAAAACGCTAATAAGCGAAACATAACCATACTAATGCAGAATTGTTGGTGGTTTCAATTTATCTTTCATTAGAATAACGTTTGCATCGAATCAAATATATTACCTTTGTTTTCTTGTATAACTTCTTGTACCTTCTTATTATTTTTCAGCTGTTAGCAGCGGAGTATCGTTCGTGTTATCGTCGATTCTGACAGTTCTCGTATTCTCTGGAATGCAAATGTATAAATCCTGGCTGGCATCATCGCAACTGTACACCATATTGGGAGGATATATTGGGTCCATCTTATTTATATGCGTATTAACTGCTATAGGAAATTTAGAAACTACAGTATTTGGAAAATCGTTTCAGCAGAAGTTAATTCCTGAAGGTACAATAGATTCTGTAGTAGTGACACGTACGAAGAGATGAAGTAATTCAAAAATTTCTTTCTTTTCCAGTTATGTTCTCCTTAATCATTAGCCTAATAGCATCAGGATTGGTACATCGTGTTGCAACCACAACTTGCTTTTTGTTTTCCATGGTTGCATTGTATTATGTAAATCGAATCTCCCAAGAAACTTACTCTTTACCAGTGCCCGTACCAGTGGCTGTGCATACAAAAAAGAGAAAATAAAGGAACTATGCCATTTAATGTAACTTTTTCATTGCAGCATTATGCATGAAAGAGATTTCAATGGATGATTTTGTACCTATTTTAAATTACGTACTATTATATGGAATTCAAGCACTTTGTTACCAAATGTTTGTAATTATTGTATACTTTTCTTAAAATTGATTAAATGAGCTTGAGTACTTTTTCATACGAGTTGAACATGCACCAATACACACACATAGATAGATAAGAAAAGTTCATATGTATTCACATTGTGTACAAATTTTTTACAACATGTGCGGATTGTGTTTTCCACTCTCTATGTGCTTTTGTGCCTCCTCCTTATCACTGAAATATTCAAAAGCTTCGTCTGAATTATCTGTATTATGTGCAGAATTAGCACTCGCTTTTATCTGACTCTCATCGATGTTAGACTGAGACATAACTTGTTTATAGATTGTGAGTGCCTGTAATTGTTATATTGTTTAATATGCTGCATATAACATAATTTATATAAAGCAAGCAACTTACTTGCGTCACCAAGGAAGAAACATCAGCTACATTACTGGGTAATATTAAAGTATTACTATTTTTTGCCAGTTTATTGAATGCTTTGACATACTGCTCAGCTATACTAAGTGCAGCTGCATTCTTGGCATCTGTTAAATTAAGAGCACTTGCCACAGCTTTCAAACTTTTAGCACGTGCTTCAGCCACAGCCACCAAAGCTGTTGCTGCACCAGATGCTTTGTTTATTTCTTCTTGCTTTGCAGCCTCTACAATGTTAAACTCACATTAGTTAATTGTTAGCTTTTAACTATACGAGAAACAGCATCTACCTGACGCTAAAATCTGCGCCAAACGTTTTCCTTCCGCAATATTTATATCCGCTTCCCTAACACCTTCCGACTCCAAAATTGCAGCTCGTTTTTTTCGTTCCGCTTCTACTTGCATCTGCATCGCTTCTTGTACTCTTTGCGGCAATCTTATGTCACCTAATGAAAAAAGGTAGTGAAATATTTCAACTCTACTGAAAGAAATCGATAGTGTTACTTTCTCTTGTCTTACGTATTTCGTAACGAAGACAAGTAATACCCCAAGCTTCACTTGCTTTATTGATACTCTCAACAATACAGACATTAAGACAAATTCTGGATCTTCAACACCATACGATGCCCGGTATGGATCATTTACTCTTAAATATAATACTCCATCAATATTTATTGTAACATTATCTACAGAGAAGAAGATCAGAATTAATATTGATTCATTAGCATTGAACACATGATCTATAGTACGTACCTGTAGTCACTGCACCTTGTTGTGGTATTTCTATAGCTATTTCTTTCAGACACTGAACATATTTGATCCTATCAACTATCGGCAAGAGTATATTGATACCTGGCTCTAGTATCTTGTGAAATTTTCCCATTCTTTCAACAATCCATGCCTGAAAAACCATTACCTTGTCACTTTTTGAAAAGCTTGACTATAAGTACATTTGATTCTCAGTCGAGATAAACGAAGCTCTACTGTACTGCATTGAGAAGGATCTGAAGATTGTTTAATAAACCAACGAACCTCTTGCTGGGGCACAAACATTATGACAGTATTTAGAGGTGTAAAAGACTTGTGTCTAGCAGTTGTAATCGACACGTTAGGGGCAGCATGTTCGATGCCATGGGCTGCCTAATGATTTGAAAGGAATTATCACCATATGAAAAATACATGTATCAAAAATGATAGGTTACGATTCATCGTATTTTCGAGTGTACCGTAATTACCTTAACAATTCCAAAATTACGAGCGAGCAACTTGAATCTACAATTCATTCCGCCTCTATATTGTTGCAACAACATTCCACTGACAGGGACGAACTCCTTTTGACGGCTGGAACAGGTTAATTCGACCTGTTTGAACTGCAGATAAATACAACCACGTTCTCGCCGTGAAGAATAACTCTGAAAGAACGCATTGACAGTAACGGGTGAAAAGTTCCCAAACTATATGTACGTTTAAATCGCCGAAAAAACGAAACGAAACGTTCTTCTCGAAGAAACGTATTGTTTCATTCTTTCTGCATAATAATCATTCAAATATGTATACTTTGAAAATGTTTGAATCTGATTTCGCGCGCAAATGATCGTTTAGTCGAGTTTTGAGCTGTAATTACAGTCAATGTCTTAAGACATTAAAATAGAAATTTTTTATATCAGTTCTCGTACACAGAGTATAATTACTTGTTACATGACGCCCCAGATTTTCTTCAACATATCATTGTCACGATTTAATTTCTTGTTCTCAGATTCGATAGTAATTGGTTTCTTATTGCATGCATAAATGAAAATATATAATTTTATGCAAATTTTCCTGTTATCCGTCACTATGATGGATGATATATATACATATGAAGTCATTATAAAGCTGTAAACATACAATAAATTGGATCTTATAGATCTTATCCATCGTCAAAAATTATCCTGACGGTTAGCAGGGTGGATACCGTTTTAACATCCATAGTCTATTTATGACTTTCAAATGCTTCAGTATTCGTTACAATTCTTTCAAAACGATTTTAACTAGGGTCCATAATTCGCTATGCTCTTAAAACGATATCCCTCACCTCCATAATTGCGAGAAACACATTACAATTACTAAATCCCATATCGTTTGTCATTCAGTAGTTATTACAAGATGTAGTTTATTTAGACTTATGTAGTTTAAATCTCGTCCATGGGACACTACTGGAAATTGTAAGATTCTCTGACAACTGTCATTGAGACGTCTGCATATGTAAGCGAATAATCCTGTATCATCATTACTGCTAGGAGCACTTTTTTTCTTTCTTTTAATTAAACATGTACTCAGTTATATAATATTGTAACATTGTGCCAAAACATATAAATTACCCGATGTGTCGGATCCGTCTTACAGTTTCCCAGATCCTATCGGATCAATCGTTTGAAAAGCTCCGCGGGAACAAAATCATGCGTTACTACATTGTGCTATTATCTTTCTGTTTGTTGGCGTGGGCACATGCTGAAGAATTATACGACGATAAATACGATGACATCGACATAAACGAGATTTTGTCAAACGAACGTTTGAGAGAGCAGTACTATAAATGCTTCATGGATACGGCGCCGTGTGTCACGGCGGATGCTGTATTCTTTAAAGGTAAATTCAAAGTTTTATCGACCGAAAGTCATCGGACGGACATTTTTAGAGTATATTTGGTACCGTAATACTCCACTAAACCGTTGCTACCAGCTATTAACAACAATTTTCACACTTTGTTCATAAGCTGCACCAGTTCATATTTGATTTAATTAAAGATAAATTATCTTTGTTACTTTTCTTTTCTTAGCAAATCTACCTGAGGCGGTCGCAACGCAATGTAAGAAGTGTACTGAGAAACAGAAGAATACGTTTGATGTGATGGCAGATTGGTACAATAAGAATCAGCCCGATAAATGGACTGCTTTTATAGAACGGATGGTGATCAATGCGAAGAAACCGAATAAGAGAAGTGCATGAGATTCCATGGATTTTGTGTTTAGTAGTAGTAAACGATTAAACGTTAATTAGTGTGCTAGACCCGGATGGTACCATGTTCGATTCTGTAACATTGTGAAATATAAAAACATCGCAAAAGAATCATTCAAAAGTTTCAATTATTTTAAAAATTCCATCCAACGGAAGTTCGCAATCTTTCTTCCAATTTGGTTTGTCGCATTCTTCTGCTCGTTAGTAGCTACCTTCATGATTGTTAAACCTAGGAATAAAACAATTTATTTCGTGATATTGTACAACCTGAACAACGTCGATAATACAGACAGCACACAGCCACCCAATTCAAAAAAATCAAAATGAAGCTCCTGGTCTTTTGTCCTTCGAGTGCAACAATATTTTATTCGGTCAGCAGCATGTTCGCACGATTTTGCAGCGTGCAATGTGCAAAATTTACGAACAATGTTCATTTTTGTTCTTGTGTAATCATGTAATAGGGTATTCGACGCCACACGGCGATCCAATTATACCTGAAATGCAACGCGATGTTAGAGCAGGTACATAAAATTGCATAAAATTACAGTATGCAATTCGAAAACCAAGACTAATGAATTTAAGAGCACATAAATCTTTACGTCAAAACAAAAGAGGTTCACGCTCATTGGTCGGTGCCAGCAATCGTTGTTCGATCAACCAATAAGATGCAGCGTCGTTCACGAGGGAGAAATAATGCAGTCGTCGGGGGAGCAGCCTACTGTGATAATAGTACAGCAATTGACAGTACAGTGGAAAATATCGTGGATGTGGGTGCGTGACATTATTCACTGGAAAAGTTACGACTTAATCTAAAATGTCATCGCCTACACAAGTGGTGAGCAATATTTCTTCTTATCGATCCTTCTGCTCATGTCATTCTTGTCAATTACCCTTGTTGCATTTACATGTTTTCATTATTATTTGCATCTCGATATACTTCTGCTGCACATTTTCCTGTTCCCTGTTACCAGGACATCGAACAATTTGCCTCCTGTTTCGTCAAACTGTGGATGAAAAAAAACGGAAATGTCAAAAAAAAAAAAAAAAAAAAAGGACAAGTCGCCCCACTGTCAAACAGCTGTTTTCTTTGTTTTGAACGACGGCTGTCATTCCTTTTCTCTGCGCGCAGCATTGCTCACTTTCTTTTTTGTTTATGGACTGTTAATAAGTAATGTTGGTAGTATTGCGAATCGTATTGTTTCGGCGTTCGCCTCTGACGTACGAACGATTAAACGAAAAATAGATTCTTTTTCGTTTTGTTTATTATGTTAATGATATACCGATAACAAGTTCGACGTTGATATTTTGGCTGCAAAGAATCAGTATTTTGTAAACTATTAAGTCAATAAGTTATCGATCGTTGTTGCTGTAATTAAATTTATTCTGAATTAATTCAGGTAATAATTGAATGTCTACCTTGACTAACTTGCTGCATCTTCCAATAATTGTTTAATTCACTATGGACGTATATATACACGTACAGTGATTTACTGAAATGTATATTCTTTTGACGTAAGAAATATAATTAGACCTTGAGAATCAATTCATTCCAATACAGCAAACAAGAGCTTTGTGTTCCATACTCACAGGACAAAAGATGGTACAAAAAGATTTATAGTTTCCTCAGTGCAGCTGTAAATTATTAAAATTTATATTACTGGTGTTTTGATATAAAACAACAGTGGATATATGAAGAGTCAGTTAACTATATGATGTATCATAATTCCAACTGTTTGCATACAATGGAAAACATATATATTCATTTCCTGCACTGATTGCATATCTTTCTCAAATTTTGAGTCAGAACAAATATTATGATTGCAGAAGGATACAACAAGGTAATGGTTAACAAAGCACTGTGTGCTCTGAAGTTGTGATAATATACAGCCGTGCTATCTTATCTTTTGTATTTGTTTATTCTCTTCTTCTCTTAAAATCACTGACCAGTGGCCCCGCATGGGAACAAAAATTCTGGAAGTTGAATTCTTTAGAATCCGCTAGACGTGTTCGTTATATGTACCATGTACGTAAATAAAAAAAATGTGTGATAATTCGTCATAATATTTATAGCCGTTTGTGTAATTCATTGAAACTATCATTACCTATCACGAAAATCACAAACTAATAACGAAAGATGGAACATTCCGTTAATGTCGTCCCTAGAATGTATCATCATGTACCGCTAACAGAAATCCAATTTCTTGTTTTTTTTCTCTGTTGCAGTTAAAAAGTGTTGGCCTAAAACTAGTCCCGTTCTTTAAAAGCGTGTCTGTGTATTTTATATTACTAGCAGAGCAGCCGTCCCTACTGACGGCCGGTTTCAAGTGTTTGCCAATCATAAGCCTTATCGTCTTTGTTCTCCTTCATGGAATTAGTTTGTCACAGGAGTAAGTGCAACAGAATTTTGCATGCGCTGATCATAACAAACAGAGGACGCTAAAGAAGATTTAACTGGTTCTTTAACACTCAATGCTTCTGCGTCTTTTTTATTTCTACGACACGTCACACGATGCACGCGTTAACGGATCACACCTCTAATGAGCAAACGTTCAGCGGGCCGGAACTAGCGAGTTAATCGAGGCTGTGTTACATTTCCATGAGCTCCATTGTAGATGCCAGCCTGGACATTATCATACGTTGATAGCGTGCTTACAAGCTTATTTTCAGGTCGCTGTTTTTATCCCTCCAATCCCGTAAAACACGCATTTTCGGGGTTTCTTAATAAAATAACGATCTTCACGCAATTCAAAGATTGTATTCTTATGGAACAGTAGAAAAGTCTCAAAAAGAAAAATCTTATGCAACAATATCGTTATAACGATAAAAAATATCGAAAGTTCTGACTTGGTAAAGTAACGTGTCGATATAAAAAAAAAGTTACCTGAAAATGTAAGTGTAAGCTAGACTCTTCCGTTTCGCTGCTTCTTCGCTCGTAGCGCATACTTTAAATTTAACCGTGACTAAAGCATCGTATCCTATTCTTTGCGGCGAAATTTGGACCAGAAACAGATGCTCGCACGAAATCATCTGTACTTTAGTTATTTTGTTTTTCTTTCTTTCAGATACACCTTCTCCAGGCGTATATTAACTGGACTGATATTCAGTTGCATAGGAGATGCACTGCTAGTTTGGCCGAGTTGTTTCACGGCGGGAATGTGTATGTTTGCTCTTGCTCAGATCATGTACATCAGTGCGTTCGGTTTTATACCACTGAACATAATGCTAGGTACAATTTTATACGCGATGTGTTCCCTAGGTGAGGCTCCATACCGAACGAATCTTTCCTCGACCAATGATTTCTCGCTCTTCAAACTCGAACACGACCGAAAATTCGTTGGTTACCTAAAAAATCGTCTGGTTAGCTTCAATTATAACTTTGTCTTACAGTCATATACGCTCTGATGCCTGGCCTGAACGGTGTTCTGGTCATTGGCGTTCCAGTTTACACCATGTTATTGACCACCATGGCATGGAGAGCAATATCGAGAATACAATTTTACAAGGTATGCTTAAAAGAAGGTTCTATCGTAGTGTTTTATGATTTCCGAACGCCATGAATCGTCTAAACCTGTTGTTCCATGTAAAATACGATCTACTCCATGACCTTTTTGTTAAAGTGGCTTGAAAAATGTACCATGTCAGTTTATAAATAGATAACAATTTAGGCGAATTTTGTATAAATCAGAAGCAAGTTGAAAGGACACCTTCGGCATCCGCTAGGGGAAAAAGTGACGTAGGGGAAGGGCCACTTGCTATCGGGAATTACTGAAATTTATGCCAAGTGATAGAAGATCTTTCCCTTACATTTTTTCCTAACGGAAGCCGAGTTTGCTCGCGAGGGTGCCTATTGTAACGAAATGAAATCCCAGTATTCCGGGGATATCCATTAGATGAGTTTGGAGCATGCTGACCTAGAAAGACAATAACGGTTCGATTTATGATAATTGCTTCGACTGATGCATTGAATAAATGATTTCCTTTACCAGGAGTTATGGACGTGGACTAAATTATGCAGCGGCATCGGCAGTATATGTTTCCTCATATCCGATACGTTGCTCGGCTTCCACTACTTCTACTCTCCGTTGCCTTACTCTCAGGTATAGTTAGTCACGCACCCAACAATATGGAAAAATCGTTTTCAGTCTGTTGTTGATATCTATCGAATTTTTTTTTTCAGGTCTCGATCATGCTGACGTACTACGCAGCTCAGCTGGGAATCGCTCTGAGCGCTGTAGGCCCTAAAAATAACAACAGCGTTAACAACAATAGAAACGAGCCGGTCCTGGTAAAGGGTTGAAAGTCTTTTATCAATAGACTGTACATAGGAATCAAACGATCGACTCTTATGCCTCTCAAAATAATTAGATGGTGATCAAGAATGAAAGAAATATCTAAAACGAACCTTAGCTCGTACCTACTGTAGCGTAATTTATCATACTAAATAGGTACAATGATTCACGGTGGCCGAGAAACTGAAGTCGTTTAACACTGCCACCTTCCTAAGGCAAGAGTTTGTATCCCCCGTAACTACAGGACGATTCATTGCACCTTGTATATATAGGAGAGACGTCACTTCGGAACTTTCGACCAAGTGTTATTCGTTTCCTTCTTCGGTCACATTCGGTGACGACGTCGAACAAAGAAATAAGATACCTTTACAATGCTGTGAATATAACTAGATAGATACTTCTATAGTAGTCGTCAATAGTGATTAAGGTGTTCTGAAAATCATAGAAATATTTTCACACTTTAATTGCCACGTGCTACACTCGGTGTTCTCGCCAATGCGAAACATCGTACTCTCACGTTTGGGAACGTTTTGTTTTCCCGATTCCTTATCTTGCTGAGCTGCGGTGATACAACGGTTCAATATGCCTGGACCAAAACAAAAAGATAACGCATTCAGATAAATTCGTCGACAGAAAAAAAAATTATTGTCAACTGTGAGAACATTGTGTGTGTATATTACATTTGTTGGATTACAGTGCACACTACGAACCAAATCTCACTTTTTGTATAGTAGGAAGAACGTAATGTAGTATCTGATCGGTTAATAGTTGAATGTTAGTCGAGTATATATAGATAGAACCGGCATGAATGATAGATTGTGATTTTAGATATTTTGACGTTGTTTTCTCTCGTGTTGTACAATGTTAAGAGAGATAGGAAAACTTTTGTAATGATCCTCGTAGTTTAGTTTCTCGAACAGATAACGTTTATTCGGACTACGTAGACTCTTATTTTACCGTTGCATTTATCGATAAAAGTATCGAACAATATAGCGATGCATTTATTCTATTGTATATGTATCTTTAACGATTTGCACCAAGTGGTACACAGGACTCAGACAACAGAAGTAATATTATTTTTTAGACGAACCTATTTTTTTGTATAGACCCAAAGAAAACCCGCAGTTTTCTTTCGAGAAATGTATTTTGTATTTTAAGATCTAGTAACTGTAGCGATTGACTTGTAGATAACTATAGTACAGAGATACATTTCGATGACATATCATCCAACTGAATTAATTCACTTGGAAAGGTGTTAAAAGTATCCTGACTACGTTAGTGAGATTAAAATAAAGTTATTAAAACACATACGTGTTGTCTAGATCGAAACTAAACGACAAAGATAGCATTTATTTGTTTTCCGGCTGTAGTTTCGATTTCATTACTTTCCAGCTCTAGCGTTCCACACACACACTGTAAACGGATTATATTTAAAGTATTTTAATATGGAACAAGTATATGTACAAGTAATAGCATAATAGCGAGAAACACATTTACAGTGCATGTATTTCGAAAATAAAACATTCAGTGATATGTGATACAAAACAATCTAGTACGTATCCTCCGGATCTCCTTTCTTCAACTAATAAAGTCTACTAGAACTAGTCTCTAAGTGAACTTCCAGAAACGTTAATCAATAATAGTCATTTTTTAATCCACTATTTTTGTAAGTGATTCACTGGAAAACAATGTAAATCGTGCGAAAAATGTTAATCATTGTAAAGTACACGTATTGTAAATCTATATCGATGTGTCTTTCAAACTTCTGTAATCTACATTCTAAAATTATTGATGGAAAAGATATGTAAATTTCAGCTACATTTTACGAACAATTAAAGTTTTGTTAATTCTACTTAGTGTTTTATTTCACTTTGACCAATCGAGAACGTAGAAAATGATAATCGTTACTGTAGAACCAAGGTTTCAGCGCCTCCTTGCCGCACCACGATACCATTCGACTGCTTGCTCTGCTCCGCGCATTTTATTTTCGATTTAAAGATCCTGTAATAATAAAAAAATCCACACTGCTACTCCCAGAAAATACTTTAAACTCTTAATGTGAATGGTAATTAATTATACACACAACAAAATGTCATTCCACATTCGCATTTGTTTCTCTTGAACTGCACTAGTTTTCATTAATTCTTCTTTCTCTAATGTAGAACTTTTTATTTTGCTTTCTTCGGTCCGTATATCGGAATTCAATTCCTCCTTTATTTTTGCGCCAGGATCAGGAACGTTTGGATCCTATACAACAGTACAATTAATATTATTATAAACAACTTTTTTTTATTACGAACTATAAACATGTAATCAAATGTAACCACCTCTGTATCATGCTTTATTCTCGCTTGTGTGGTTTTCATTCTAGTCACATGTCTCTCCAGTCTTTCCTTTTCTTCAATACACTATTCACAAAATTTTACAATAAATTAGAAAACAATATTCTATACGAGAGAATACGTAAACCTAAATATACCTTTGCAATTTCTGTCTTTACACTTTCTATCTCAGACTGCAGACTATTAATCGAGACGTTCATAGTCGACTCCACATCGTTGTGGGCTTTTTCAGCCTTCTCGTGTTTCTGCTCAAACTCTCGCGACTTTTCCCGCAAAAGTTGCACCTCTACAATATATTTAAACTACTGAATATGGATCGTTCGCAACACGTGCTCGCGTTACATACCCTTTATTAACGGAACTAATTTCCCACGACGATCGGTAATATCTCTAGATAACCGAAGATTCATCGATGATGGATTCTCTTCCGTAAGATTAGCTGTCGTGCTTTTCTTAACTATTTCCAACATTTCCTTCGTTTGGTTACACTGGTTCAACTATGAGAACAAAACAGCTATAGTCAACTGATACAGGACCATACCGAAAATCGAAGAATACCTGATTTTCCAGAATAGCAGTGGTACGATAAAGCACACTATTTTCTGCGTTCAACCACGCCAGCTCGCCCTTGCAATGCTTGTAAAGAGTGCTCCTAGTTTTCAACCGGTTAACGTACTTTTTCAATTCATCCCCTTTGGGCGCGGCATATTCCACCATCATTTTCGACAGTTCACGCTTCTCCTCTAATCTCAATCGCAGCTCTTGCAAAGAACTTTCCGTTTTCTCTAATCTGTCCAAGACGTTCCGTTTCATATTCGCAACAGCAGCTGCTTGTTGCCGGAATGGTTCCATTTTATCGATGTTACTCCTCGAAATCTGAACGAATCCCCGATATATTTTTACAAAAATATGTACAGCCGGGGTTAATTGTATCGTTCCCGATCAAGCTTTACCTTAATCTCCATTAAATCTTGAATCTCCTTCGCTATCCCGTCCAATTTATTTCTCATTGCCGTGATCTGTTCCGGACCCAAATAGGAACTTTGTCTGACCGCGTTCAAAGCCTTCAAACGATTCTTCTTCGCGTTCAATTCAGCCGGTAGCTTCTCATTGGCGACTATCGTTTGTACGGTCATCGCTTCGGACAGCTGTTGTACCAAGCTCTGCGGTGTAACTTCGTTCTCGTCTTTCTTCAACGTTTCTAGCTCTCGTTCCAACCGTTGGCGGGCGATCTGAAGCACCAACGATCGGTTAAAAAATGCAGAAACAGACGGTCTGCATGTTCTTGAAACTCCAAAGACGTTACACTCAGTTCTCGATGAGAGCGACGCATTCGAGCCCACTTCGATGCATTTGAGTCCCTTATAAATTTGTTTTTTATTCGAAGCTGAACCTTTGCTTGGCTTCCATTTACTCTGTTTTAATTGGTTCCACATGGGGACTCTCCCAGTAGTGGGGATAACGCCATTGCTCGTGTCGCATTCATCGAGGGATCACTGTATTCACTTATTACAGTGAATGTCAGAGAATTGGATACGTTATAAATGCATAAAATCCCGCAGTTTACTTATTACCTGTAATCTGGATAGAATTTCATGTTCCTGTTCTTCTTGCAACGCTAAATCACGTTCCTTGTCTCGTTCCAGGCGCAATGCTCTAGCTGCCTCGAGCAAATGAATCCCTGTTTCCGCTTTAGCCTTCATTTTCTCTATGCGTATCGTGACCGCCTAATTAAAAATCGACGGAGAAATTAATTCTACGAGCAAGGTGTAGCAGGAGCTCACTTCGATATTTCGTACCTCTTTTTCTTTTTCCATTGTCTTCAGATCGGCCGTGAGTTCGCTAGCATTTTCGAAATTCTGAGACCAACGAAATAGACAAATTTAAAAAACAAAAAATGGGAGTCTGAGTATAACTGCAGAGGCTATACAGATAAATATTGACACGTTAATTCTTGTTTTTTACCCTTTTCCCTATTTCGCTTTCCTTGTGAACGGACTTGAATCGATCGATCAACGCTGTATATTGCTCGTACAAAGAGGAGACCTCCGGATCGCTCAAATATTCATCAGGAACCTCTACCTAATTAACGATAATGAAATCACTCGCTGTAAACGACTTCGAGGAGCAAGGCAGCCTAGCACACATGTGTACATACAGTTTATGTACCTTTACTAGAAAACGAGACAAATAGGCCCTCTTCCGAACAATGTCCACATGGGACAGAAGCCAGGTCAAGATGGGATGGATAGTTTCAGGATCACCTCGAATTAGACCTTGTCTATACAAAAAAAATAGAGATTAAAGTAAATGTTCCAAAAAAAAAAAGAGAAAAAAATTATAATTATACCTAAAGCTCACAGGATCCGTCTGTGGCTGATAATTAAGCACTCGAAGAACGGATAAAATATAAACAGCCATCTCTTCAGGCGTTTCGTTTCGCGAGTCTACATTTGTGTCGTTTTGATCCTGTATCTTGATCAATACCTCTCTCAATACCTGCAATAAATAACCATCGATAAAAAAAAAGAAATATTGAATTAAGGTGTCTGTACTTGGCATTACTGACGCTTACTTGCAACAGTTCCTCGGGAGTCAGAGAATTAAAATAAATCATATTGTAATTACGGCCTAACAGCCTGTTCACCTCCGTCACAATGAACTTCATATTTTCCTTCATGATTGCCCCGTTGATCTATGCGATCTTCTCCTCGAGGTGCACAGAGACAACGACTATCATTCGAATGGAACGAAATGCATTCTTTGTTATCGTGATTCGTTGTCCTGGCAACGAGATTACGCCGTATTGTAAATTTTCCCTCTAAAATAGTCCACGTGCGAGAATATTCGAGGACTTTTCACCTGCTCGATATGACCTTTCAAGCGAAATTGCTCGTTGATCAGGTTACGACCCCCTCAGAAAAGATTTCGAAAAGGTCATTTAATTTTTCAGCTACGCGTAACGATTCGATGCACCTTATTGGTTTTTACAATACGGAATAAAATAATCAATAAAAATGATTCTAAGCGGTAGGGTATCTAAATCGTACATTAAATTTTGGAGAATTATTAAATATTGTTCTGGCGTAACGAATAATCTGTTTCAAACTTAAAATCTATATACAGTGATACCCTCGATGAACGCGACACGTGCAACGGCGTTATTCCCACCACTGGGGGAGTCTCAATGTGGAACCAATCAAAACCGAGTAGACAGTAGCTAAGCAAAGGCTCGGCTTCGAGTAAAAAAGTAAATTTATGAGGAGCTAAAACATAATAATAATAAAGTACGTCGCACTCATCGAGACCTTACTGTATATTATATTTTTCATATGTATTCCTCAAACTTAACGTACGATTTAAGAACGTTATAAAACTGTAAGCCTCTCCGTATATGCTCGGACATGAAAGTTTTATTCCACACATGAAAATTGTGTTGTTCTTCGTTTCTTTCTTTATGTCATCATCACATGTTAATATATTAGCATCACAAATTTTAATACGCAATTTCGATATGAAAATTGAGACTCGTTCGAAGCGAGCTAACTTCTCGATAGAATACAACAGAGTAAATAATTTTACTATTTAACAAACCTCAACCCTAAACAGTGTCAGTTTTCGATTTACTTGTTTTTTCCTTCTTCTTATCGTTTAATAGATGCCACTAGAACAACATTTTCTATTCGCGTGTGTGCGTTAACAGATGAAGGAGAGTACACCGAAGTTATGTCGACTGGAAAATACGTTTACTTGGGATAGTTAGAGAATCGTGTTACGGTTTTCGTTCGCCTATCTCTCTCTCTGTTCCGCTGTTCTAGGTGTACTTCATACGTTTTACAGACAACCCCTTTTTTTTTACTGTTTGATAACTCTTAGAATATCGTGTTATAAAAATGGCTTGTGAAGTCTTGTAAAAAGAACCATGCAAGTCATACTTTGTGACGATGTTTAATAATCAGTCTAAAATTTGAACAATATAGCAACGTTGTGATAATCAAATACTGCATGAAAAATCATTTGAAGATTGCACTATATATAAATATTATAATATATATACATATATGTATAATCTATGTTTATCATATATATATATATATATAAGTACCGTAAGTATTGGGGTATTAGATGTTACATAAAGGAGATAGAATTTAAATTTATGGGCTGAATACATAGAAATTCTCCGAAATTTAAAAAGATAAAAGACAAATAAAAGAATTAAAATGGTCTCCCTAAGTGTAGATCGCCTTAAGGTAATACGATTGCAAAGTTCTGTGCATAATTGTAAAAGACTGCAAAACTACGACAATGACTCGATCTCGATATTACGCGACGTCGTGTTCAAACTTCATTACTTCATTTAAATAGTTACTATATTATGCTCGGATGCAGATTAACACGACGCGCCGATATAACATTAAGCTTCCCTTAGCCACCGATCATTTAAAACTAGCAAGTATGTCAGAACTTACGTGAATTCGAGAGTCAACGAATCTGTTGTACAGCATTACAGAACAAAGGGAAAGATTTACAAAGTCACATATTAAATAACGTTTGTATGCAATCCATTATTTTGGCTTACATTCATTATTGACGACAATCGAATACAGCGTTGTTTGTTTTTTTTCTTTCCTCGAACATCGTAAGACAATAAAAACCATACATGCAATTTGTATGAAACTTTTACATATACTCAGGTGCACTAAGTGTTGCGAACACTAAAAATTTATTAAATTTTAATAATCGCCAGTTTTGAACTCAACCTCGCATCATATTATATATACCTAATATAAAACAAGAACACAACAAACTTTCTGGCATACACGATACATCTTAACATGTAAGATTGTATGTCAAATTGGTTTTTCCCCCCTCTTTTCGTTCAGCTAATTACCTCCCCCGTATCTCTTTGTATTTCTCTACACAAGTTTCTTTTTTTTCTTCTTTTTGTCATTGTCTTATCTCCCGAGATAAGTAAAACAGCAAGTCAATAGTACCAATGAGTGTATATATATATATACTTTTTTTTACTCTTTTACTGGGAGCATGTTTTTTTCGCTTGTAAAACAAATTTCCATTGTATACAAAATGTAATTTCTCTTACAGACGGCGACGTGATTTAAGGTATTCCGTGTAGCGTGTGTGAAGGGAGGAAGAAAGGATGGTAAACATAGAATTAAGAATTCAGTTTATCCGCTCTTGAAGAGAAGGATGGCTACCTGTCCCAGGTAGAAATAGATAAAATGTCTAGTTTCATGCGTCACGTAGCTTCCAAAGTTACGTCCTACGATGCAATGCCACGTTGGATTGTATTTTTTGTCGAATTCTTTTTTAATAAACGCTGCAATATCCTGAAAGAAAACAAACAATGTCATATACATGTAATACAACACTACAGTATATTCTCGAAAATTGTTTAGAAAGATCTTTATGTTAAATGCTTTTGGGGAAAAAAAAAGGATTAAGAACCTCTGTACTAGCGAGACATGAAAATTTTACTAAAATATCATTGAGATTTTTTCAATTAAAGTAAAACTAAACACTACATAATTTGCAATTTTTTATAAGCGATAATAAAAGAAAATACGATCGAAATTATATCGTATTTGGTATCATTTTAATCCGAAAAACCCATTAATATGTTAATAATATTTTCATTAATAATCAAAAATAAAAAAATTTCATCGTTGCATAAACGCTGTGACACCAATACGCAGGCTTTTAATCGTGTCGTCGGCTGGCGGCAAAATACAAAGGCCCGAAATTCTACCTCCACGATAAATGTGGTCCGACCCAAAGTGGTCCGAAGTTTCGGTCATTAATCGAAAATTTACTGCATTATGCTCTGTTGAATCTGCTTTACATAATACTTCGAAATACTACAGATCTGTGTACACCATTTGAAATCATACACATCTGCAGCATCAGAGACACAACCAATAGCATACCTTTTCAATGTTGTATTTTTCAAGGGCCTGAGTTGCACAGTCAACAGCATCCTGCTGCATCTCCTCGGACATGTCAGCATTCTTGATTACAGCCTTTCGGTCAGACATTTTTGTAGGTCTGAAAGCCACAAGAGACCAGTCAGATAATACTTTCACATTCCTGGGAATACAATTTCACGAAAACATCGTGACCGTTACTCCGTGAAACGGTCACCCGATCGAGAGAGAAGATACATTTGACAAGAGAAAAATATTCAATGAATTTTAAAACCTGGATGGAGGAATGCGTGCAATTTTGACAGTAGCGTAGACGTCATGTGCCGGCATAACAATGCACAGAGAGCCGAAAAAAAAACATAAATCGGTTCAGGTTAATAGGCGCGATATGAAACCAGGCGATAAGGAGAACGACGACGGAGGCGAAACGCGGGAGAGGATGATGTTTTGTCGATACGTCGCGACAATAAGAATAATAATCGGGACGCACGCGATCACTGGGATCGAGCCACGATCAGTGAAGGTATAATTGAGAATAGCTTTTTCTATGGTAGAAGAGAAATTACGGAAACGAAAAACGGACTTGACGTATAAAGCTGCCTGGTTCCCGGTCGAGAATGAAAAATACAATTTCGAATGGAATAACACTGGACATACCTTTCGGGATTGACACTCTCGCCAGCGGACACAGAGGGAAATGATCGTTCTGTTCAACCGAGACGGTTACGCACGCTTGTTACTGTTCTTGTTCTATGGGAACTGATTTTATACACCAAAAATTTTCGTTCGCTCAAACCGGCAGCGACTGTTCCTCGATCGAGTTCAAGACTGAAGTGCCTGTGCCGCGATCCTCGATTCTGATTGGCCCGCGATTAGGGTCTTCTATCAGGGTCTTCTATCAGCCCGGCATGCTTTGCTGCTAGCAACCCGCGTAAACATGAATTTCAGAAATCGATAAGGAAAACATTCAACCGTTCTGTCTTTGTTTCTCGTTTCCGTAAAGAACAGTCGGTTTTTTTTTAAATTTGATATTCTCCTTTTTCATTCCATGCCACTTGTTCACATGCAATGATATTGTCAACATATTGACTGACCAAACTTTTGTTATTGGTATAAAATCAATGCACGTATGATCTCCACTGATTAAAATATTTTTTGTAATAATATTGAATGGTTTAGTGAATTCCTCTGAATGGATATTGTATATTAATCATGATCTGATTATGGTATTCTTGATTAATTTTTAATTCTTTTATGCAAGCGCTGAAATAGTCAAAAACTTGTGGCGCCAGCTACGTGAAAATGTCAAAGCTACTAGTCGTTTAGTTTTATGCTTCGTCGCAAGATGGCGCCACCCTGGCTTTCATCGTTTAAATAATTAAAGTTTTAAATGTTTATTAAGAAATAGAATGAGGAGCAAATTTTTATGAACTAATATTATTCCCATTAAACGACGGTGAACTCTGATAAAGAATTGTTCATTGTTGGAAACAATTTTTATAATTAATTTTCCATTTTTTAATACATAAAACGGTTTCCTACAAGATGTTGTGGCGTCATCTATATTCAAGAAAATGGTACCACTTCTCTAGTACCTTAGGCATATTGCCGTAAGTGGCGCCACTGATTATTTCAATTACAATATAAATTATTTTTTACTTAAAATCTTAATTAGACTAACAATATATTGCCTACTTCTATGAAACAGAAACGTGTTTACTTTGCACTAAAACACGGTTATGAGTTCTATCAAGGTCCACATAAGGTAGAAATTCGATTAAAATTCATACAAACTTTTACGGCGCCAACTTGTAGATAATTGAATATACTATAAATTTATAAAATGTGCAATCTAGTTACGAGTACATTATGCAAAATCTGTTTCTGTTTATTAAGGTAAAAATAATGTCAGTGGATAGAGATACTTCGTGTCATGCAAAAAGGCAATTCGCATGAAAGTACAAATGTAAATCAGGACGATTTAAAAATCAATATTGGTAATGGTAATGAACATTTTTCTAAGCAAATGGTATTGCCATTCGTGATATGTAACTTGTACTGCATATAAATGAAGTGTATTTACCATATACATAAAATCTTCTACTTTCTTCCAGATATCTCGGTCTATTATAAAAAATATTTTCATATTCTATTATTTTTTGACCGCATAATTGTGTCTGCACCGTCTGAACTTAATAATTAAATCCATTAAAAAATGGCGCTATCATGAATAATTATTCAACACAACCACAAAATTTACTCATCCGTTTAAAAACATGTGTATGCATACATTGTTTTATCAGCTGATATAACGGCAGTGCCGTAGTTACTTTCTTTCAATTACTAAAGAAACTATTGAATTATTACCAAAGTATAAATACTATAATAATATAATGAAAGCCTTATAATATGTACTTCTACTTCTTCTATAACAAAATAATAGTAACAGTTCTTCAATTTAATGATAATGAAATAACGTAAATAAATTGAATAATTTTTGGTACCTATTATTTTTAACGGATTCGTGCGAGTATGTCGGCTTGAATTACGCATGCGCAGTGAACGTTAACGGTTCACGGTTGCCTTTATTAAGCGAAGATTTGAGAGTGAATTTGTCAGTGTTCTGGCTGCGTAGAATACGAAGTTTCTGACAGGAGGATTATTTCCCAAAAAAGGCGTCTTGTAAAGTTTCATTGCCTAAAGGGAATCAGAAAGTTTGTAGAAAATGTTTCGTCTCCTAGTTTGCTTGTGCGCTTTATTAGCGCTAGGTAATACAAATTTGGTCAGGTAAGTGACATTCAAAACAAAGAGAACGGTCATTCTGTACAATGTTTCATTTTTATCTTGGAATCTTTGGGAGATTCAATCGCTCTAATCGTTGATGACTCACGTCAGAATTTTGTTTCTTTTACTGTTAGGATTCAGTTGCATAAAATAGACAGTGTTAGAAAACAATTCAGGGAGCTTGATACAGAACTAGCTCAAGTGCGTATGGTGCGAGGAACGGGTGCTACACCAGAGCCTCTTTCCAACTACCTTGATGCTCAATATTATGGAGTGATCCATATCGGTACTCCACCGCAAGAATTCAAAGTAATTTTCGACACTGGTTCCTCGAACCTTTGGGTTCCATCTAAGAAGTGCCATTTGACCAACATTGCCTGCCGTAAGTATATTTTATTGCAAGATGAGGATGGTATTGTGAAGGTTTAACTGTAAAACTGTTGTATATATCCAGAACTTCGAGGACTAATGAAAGGATAGATAAGACAAAACTAGAATCTTATGCAACAGTATTCTTAAATCATGGAAAATTTGTATTATATTAAAAATCCTTTTAAACTAATTAAGTTGGATATACCATGAAAACAAAGTTTCTTTTTGATCAGAGATTTCTATAAATATTTACATATAGTCAGTTGAATTTTTGCTTTTTTATGCTTGAAACTATGCCATTATGATACTTTTATAATTCCATTTCACCAAGAGATATATAGGTATTTGTTTTCAATACATATGATCCTTCATTTTTCTAGATACAAATGACCTTTGCTACACGATAACGTATTATTTCCATCGTGTGACTGATAGTCTGTAAAATGGTAGCTTTAATTACAGACAATGCAGCATATATATTGAACTTATATACATAATAATCTTATAATCAGTAATAATATTACTTTAATTCCTGTCTATAGTATTCTCTGCTTTCTTTAGACAATTACAAAATTGAGAAATTAAACAAATAGCATTGTATATGAACATATGCTATCGTTTTTATTCTATTGATACCATTAGCTGTGTTAATAGGAACAGAGAACTGTAGAAAGATCAAATTTTCAACTGCTTCAAGTAATAACTATGTTTATACTCTTTTTGTTTTCAGTAATGCACCACAAATATGATAGCAGAAAGTCGTCCACTTACAAGAAGAACGGTACCGAATTCGCCATTCGTTATGGCACTGGAAGCCTCTCTGGTTTCTTATCTACTGATACCATAGATGTAAGTTAAAGCATGAACGGAGTCTTCGTCAATTCTTCGCGTCAACTTACATTCCCGTGTATTCCGTCTAACACTGATAAAAATAATCTTACTCGTGCAACGTGTTATTTTTCTTGTTTCTCCAAAACGCATTTACTTGCACATTGTGTTGTATTTACATTAATGGTCGTATCTGTTTACAGATCGCCGGAATGAACGTTATGGATCAGACATTTGCCGAGGCATTGAGTGAACCTGGTTTAGCTTTTATCGCTGCCAAGTTCGATGGTATCATGGGAATGGCTTATTCCACGATCTCTGTAGATGGTGTAACGCCAGTGTTTTATAATATGGTCAAACAAGGATTGGTGCCTGAACCGGTTTTCAGTTTCTACTTGAACAGGTATAAGGTTCACTTAACAATCTACAATATTTTCTTTTGTGGTAATGACACATAATAAATCATACACATTTACAAAACCAGAGACCCCAAGGCACCTTCTGGTGGAGAAATGTTATTGGGAGGTTCGGATCCCAATCATTATGTGGGCGAATTATCCTATGTTCCTGTAGACCGTAAGGGTTACTGGCAGTTCAGAATGGACAAGTATGTTGTTTAAGATATTTCCAATGCTCTGATTATGTTATTTGATTTACAATTCAAATTCCAGAGTCAAAGTAGGCTCTGATGTTACTGTGTGTGAGAATGGATGCGAGGCAATCGCTGACACAGGCACTTCATTGATCGCTGGTCCTGTGGACGAAGTCCGTGCTATCAATCAAAAGATTGGAGCTACACCAATTGTAGCTGGAGAAGCCATAGTAATTACAAACGATAACATATACAACATTTCTATCTAACATTCAAACTTACGTAACCGTTTAACGTTCACAGGTTGACTGTAACTCAATTCCAACCTTGCCTACGGTTACATTTACATTCGCTGGTCGCGATTTCCCGCTGCGAGGAGAGGATTATGTCTTGAAGGTGAAAGCTGATACTTGTTACACATAATAGATTACTAAAAAAAATTGTTTTTATAGAAACCGACATTGTTGACACTTTTTATCTTTGAAACAGGTGACACAGTTAGGAAAGACAATTTGTATGAGTGGATTCATGGGAATTGACATTCCTAAACCAAATGGTCCGCTATGGATTTTGGGAGATGTATTCATTGGCCGTTATTACACTGAATTCGATATGGGAAACAATCGCATTGGTTTCGCCGAAGCTAAATAGATATAATAGTTCACAGACGCTTCTGCAACGTGTACTCGTTCCGCCAATTACGTACGGTACACCTATTTTAGTCTATTTGACCATTGTCTTTGTCTTCTATGTTCGCTCAGATTGCATTTTTCTGCACCCACACTGTATAGTATCATAATATCGAAAATAGGAATATGTAGAGCTAAGCAAAGGAAAACATATAATTGCAAAAGGTGTAAAATGAATTCCTATACTGAACAAAGAATTTACGAAGAACAACGCAATAAATCATTTTTTTTTCATATACATTCTTTTGTATGTAATATACGTAAGAAGAAATAAAAGAAAGTGAGAAGCAAAATCTTTTTCATTTATTTTTTTAGGCATGCCCCTGATCCCTTTCTTTATGTTCCTTTTTTGATTAGCCGTATATTGTTCGATAATAAATATGAGATTTTAAAATAAGTTTCTCTTATTCATAATTTACATATGTAATCACAGCCTTGTACAGTAGTACCAAATAAATTAATTTCACAAACTAACTAGATATACCATATGAAATTCAAAATTAAAGTACAAACATCAAAGAAATACTTGCTTTATTTACTATTCTCGTTTCTTCACTGCGTGAACTGCATAATTTATCGCTGTAGATGACGTCCAGAACCATTCGTTCTTTAAAGGGTTGTAAAACATTCCGTGGATCAATTTTGTTTTACAACCACCTACAAATTATGACATGCTTATCAACAATATAAATTCCTAGTAAAAATGACAGGTGTGGTTATTAGTAATAAACATTTTACATGTCTCTAATAAACGCTGAATTTCGGCTGGAGTGATAAATTTGTTCCAGTCATGAGTGCCCGTTGGTACCAATTTTAAAACGTGTTCAGCAGCAATTATGCCTCCAAGCCATGAAGGCAGAGTCTTATTCAATGTTGTAAGAAATATCGAACCACCAGGTATCAAAGTGTCTACACAATACTACAACAGGAGAATATATTTTTAAAACAAATCTACGCAGTCTATCCTTGGCAAACATATGAACATAAAACACCTTTAAAAATAACTCTTTGTTGTTTACATGCTCCAAAACTTCAGAGGCTACCACAGCATCGTATCTCTCTTTGTTCTTTGCATAGTAATCTTCCATAACTGCCTGAACATAGTTCAACCTTCCATCTAAATTTAAATCTAAAGATGCATGCTGTTTAGCAGTCTTTATCAATTCTGAAGACGCATCAATCCCAGTTACTTCTGCTCCTATTCTAGCTAAAGGTTCAGACAACAGTCCTCCGCCGCACCCAACATCTAAGATTTTAGTTCCCTCTAAAGGTAAATATGGGGTTTCCACCTGCATCCCAGTATTTGCTAAACCATCCCGAACGAATTGTACTCTAAGTGGGTTTAATGAATGCAGAGCACACAATTCTCCATTCACGTCCCACCACTGATTACTTAATTTAGAATGATGCTCTACTGTCGTAACATCAACAGTCGATTTTTTGACTATAGAAGATTTGGTTGAATGTTCAACCTGTTCAGTTAACCTAAAACAAGGAATGGACAGCTATACAGTTTTATAATTTCTTTGTTTGAATTACCAAGTGAATTTGAAGCTTATAGGTTAGGTACCTGTTCCGAAAAGGATTTCCTGTGCTTATAGATCGGGAAGGTAGAAACTTTAAGATCTTCATGATTAAATCGTTAAATTAGTATAAAAAATTTAGCAAATATATATTATGATGTCCTTGAAATTGTATATACAGAAACAAATGACACGTGATTAACCGATGAACGACGTATCGCATCAAGGGTAAACACAAATGTTCATTAAATCAATAAAGAGCACAAAAATAGTGTCATCGATCGATCTTATTGCGATTAATCTACCGATTGATAAGAATCTCCTAATTCACAATTTCAGATAAGTTTATCGACCCTATAAGAATTAATTTAAATATTTTGTGCACGTTTTTCAAACTTCGCCACTTACAATCATTTTAGTGTATAGAATGTTAAATCTGATATAATTTAAAAGTCCGCAAAATGTTCCATGACGAATTCACTGATGTAAAGTATCAATATTTGTCTACAAAAAAAGTTTCATGATATTGTGTAATGCTCACGTTTCGTTCAAAAGATGTAAACAATCGAAGAGCAAGCGTTCAAAGTACCGAAGTCACAGCCTATGCGGCTGATATGAATATGGCGCAGGACCTCTAGCTCGAACGCGCCAAAAATGATTTCTCCATTAGCTACTTCATTGGTTTTTGTATTTATTTAATGTACTGAACGTTGTTACACATTCATAAACAGTTTTCAATGGTAACAGTGTTTCGTAAATTTGTAAAGAAAATAAATCATTTCAATAAATGTTTTACACATTTCTCGTGCATATAAAATTACTGAACCCTGAAATGTTATAATTGGTTATCTTATCTTTGTACATATTACGTGTAAGAACGTGGTCTTATTTGTAAACCAAATACAAATTACGCATAATTACTGGAAATGATTACTTACCAGATATTAACATATAAAGGCAATATAGATACTTTGTTCAGCTTTAGTTTATGTAATAATACTGTATAAGTTCTTGTTGAATTATAAAGTGACAATATTTTGCATTCCATTATGTAACATTCCAATTAATATAATATATATAATCAAAAGAGTGTCGAAATGTATGACTATCTATAACAAAGACATCACGGTTTCCCATGAAAAATCATCGTGTTCATCGTGTAAATTTATTATATTTTTTTCTTCGACCAAGACGAACAGTTTCTTGAACGGAGAGTAATGCGATAAAGTATATTTATCCGCAATGACGATCAATTTATGTTTCGCCCTCGTTATAGCTACAGTTAATCTTTTATGGTCCCCCAATATTTCAAGGTCCTGTATTCAGAAAAATGAAATTTAAAAACTTTTTAATTTCAATATATCCAGTTGAACGAAATGTAAGCAAGATACCTCTTTTATGTCACTGTTATTAATTAAACTTTTCGCGCAGGAATAAATTATAATATCTTTATCACGGCCTTGATATTGGTCAACAGTGTTCACCTCAATATCTTTATGGATGATTCCTTTCAACAGATTCACGTGTGCTCTGTACGGAGCAATGATTCCTATACTCTGGGGTTTTATACCCATCTTAAAAAGAGAATATCATTATATGCATTCGTAAAATTATGATGTATTAAATGAGAAAAAAATTTCACCTCTACTACAGTCTGTGACAGCTTGAGGATTACGGCAGCTTCCCATACATTAGAATATATTTGATCGCTTTTGGGATACTTCTTACTAATCTCAATACTCGCTTTTAAATCATTCGTACAACCCGTATTCAAAATAATTATGGAGTCATCTATATCCTGCGATAGTACCTTTTGTATCCACCTTCCACATTTCAATAGATCCTAAAAAGTAATGATACCCCTACACATAAAACGCAAAGTATTGTACGTATAATTTGACTTACCCTACTATCTGCGATATCCAGTGTGGCATTTTCGATTAATGTATTTCCTACTTCTAATTTATCATTGTACGTTAATTTGTTTGCTAGACGCATAATGCTTTTATTCATTCTGTACTGTTTTGGTAATATTACGGTATTATTTTCACTGTCTAATCGAGCGAATAAGGATTCGTCTGCACCCAGTTTCCTGTGGAATAAGTGCAGGAGTAAAACTATAACTTGCTTTATCCCGAATAAATTTATCATATGTTATATACAATGAACTTCGACAGTAATGTACCTGGCAGCTTTACTTTTAACGATAGGTGGAAGTTGATCGGGATCTCCTGCAAGAACAAATTTACGTGCACTGTACAATGGTCTTAATACGACTGGCTGCAATGCTTGGGCGCTTTCATCCACAATACAAACATCGAATGTTCGTCGGCCAAGAAGTGCATGATGAGCACCATAACAAGTCACTCCTACAATATTCTAAAACGATTAAAAATAGGGTTTTCTCTCCTCATACAACAATCATCGTAAAGCAAGTTATATCTTAAAATATTTCATACTTTGCTGGAATACATAGCGTCCAAGCTCTCAGGAGAATTGAAATTTACAGACGAGTACGCATCACTTTTATGTTTCAACAATGGAGAAATAGACGATGAGCCCAATCGTAAAAAGTCAATGCCTTTGTCCAGTAGTTTCAACAAGATATTATCCAAAGCGCTGTTTGTATGGGCTGTAATTAAAACAGAGTGTCCCGTTACGTGTAACAGTTCTATCAAAGCCACTAGCGTTTGCGTTTTTCCTGTACCAGGCATTCCTTTGATTAAAATATAGTCATTAGCAGTCATTACTTTCAGTATGACTCTTTGCTGACTTTCATTTAGTTCCTGAACTATAGACGCGCTTTTGTGTACGACAGAACGCGATAATCCTTTAACGAATGTCGCTGGTTTCCTGGCGAAAATATGAAATTGATGACAAAATGACGAGAAGTACATTTTTTTTTAAACAAACTACCCTACTAACTTATCTATCACAATGTCCCGCAATCTCTCACAGATTTCATCGTCACCTATTAATCCACCAACGCTGGCAAGATTAGAAGCAAACAGAGTTCCGAAGGAAGAATATTTATCTATGTGAAAGGACTCATTGATACCGTACTTGGTGATGTTTCTGAAATTGTATAATTCTAGTAAACTTCAACAAACAATCTACAGTTACAAATTTGTGTACCTGTCTAATAAAACAATTATAGAGTCTTCTTTTAGATGCACGATAAAACCTGCTGACAAGTTTATATTCGTATCTGTGCTCACCAGGACGTATTCATTTTCTGTAAATTCTGTCTGTGAAATAGAAACGTTCGAGAATGTTTCATTGAAATTCGCGCGAACGAATGTGTGTTGATACTTAGAATCGCATTCGATGACCTTTCCTATTACTTTTAAATTACAAACGCACATTTTCTTCGCTTCCCTGAAAAGACGGACAATTATTAGCGTGAAAATATCTATAAATTGGTAGATTTAACTTTTACCTCTTTTCTGGACTTAACGTCCACAAATATCTCAATGTGTTATCAGAGGATTGAGTGGACTCCTCCATTTGCAATAACGTAACCCATTTCATGACATAATCGATATGAGCAGGCTTCAATTTTTCTAAGATTTGTTTTCCAAGCATTGTTAATGGATGCGATTCAGGTAACTGAATTTTAGTATCTCTACTTAGGTATGCACAACATAACGCATTGTACGAGCATTTAGAACATGCGCTATGATGGTTGATTGGCTCGGGTAACTCCAGCGTTTTCCCATTCAATTCGGAGATCAAATCTGATGTCTTCTCGATTGGTTTAGGAGCAAAATAATTAGCCAAAGTATTCCTTAACAGTATCAAGTCCCTTCTTTCAGGGTGTCCACTTCGAATTTCTTGCATATTATTTTCTCTAGAATGAGAAACGTCTATGCAATGAATTTCATTTAACAGTATGTGTATATTATAAGATATTACCTAAGATACAGTAGCAGTCCTGTATCTGTGTCTTGACCCGTAAGAGCCATCATCATAATATACAAAATAATTTGACCTTTATGTTCTAACGAGAACGAAGGTCTCCCTGTCTTTATTTCAAGGGGCATTATTTTTCTTCTCGAATTTAGATTAACTTCCACCGTGACATCTACTTTGCCTTTCACACCTAACTTGGGAAGCCAAATATTTTCTTCTATATCGTGAACGTAAGTGATGTTTCCTTTGAAATTGTCTTTTCTATTATTTATATCCTGCTGTTTTTTATCTATAAATATTATTAGAATTTAATGAAAGAACAAAAGGAATATTCTAAATACTCTGACTTACCTTTTAGATAATGTTGAATGAATTCAAATATTCGTGGTACAAATACGAGCATCTCCTTCCGGCATGCATCAAATGCAATTTCTGATGCATAAAGTGTACGTATTGTTTCCTTGGACTGCAATATGCTGTCCATCAATTTAATAATATCTGACATGTCATGAATATTTGTGCGTATTGCCTGTACAATTAATAATGAATTAAAATGGTATAAAAGTTATTTTAAATGTTAAGCATTTAATTGGTACCTTTTGTAGCAATTGATGAGCTAAGCTTCCAATTACCATAGCTGTTGCATCACCTCTATAATACGGCAGTGTTTCTATTTTCTTAAACTTCTCTGCTAATACTGCTTTTCTACTACAAAATAAAGCACCAACTATTGTTGTTCCAGATATTAACAGATCTGCATGAACAACAATGAAACCACTAGTATTATCCACAACCCAAGATTGATTGTCTTTCCTTGCTTGTATGGCAACAATATCATCCTTTTCAACTTTTGCATCTTTCCTGAATTTGAGTTTAAAACATGACATCTATTATATAATTCATACTATGATAACTTAATAATAAATAAACTCTTACCAAAAACCTGAACATATAACAGTTCCACTGGATGCAGAATCTTCTTGCTTCACAGATAACAATATACTATTACATTCTCTTTTTACACTAGTAACCTTACACCTCTGCAAAGAATCAAAGTTTATTTGATTAACCAAGGACCATTCTTCTTCAAAGCAATCATTAAAATCATCTGCAATACATGTGTTTAATGCAAAATCTGATTCCTCTTTACATTTGCCAAATTCATCCGATTGTTTAGAATTAGTGGACATCCTACTACTTTGTGTAGAACCTGTTGTTATCTGATTTACAGAAATGTTCTCAAAATTGCTCTCGTGTAATACACTGTTATTTCTAATAAATTGTTTACTTTCATTCAATTTATATCCGTCTAAGTCTATATTTTCCTTAGATTCTACCAAAACTACATTTTTGTTAGGAGAAGGACTTTTGATATGTATTTTCTCATCGCTGAAGACATCATGAATCACGTTAGACTCCTCCAGTTGCTTCTGTATTCTGTTCAAATTGTGCGCATCAAGTTTGTCATTTCGCTTAATAATCTTTGACTGACTTTCTTCCAATTCCATGTCGGTAGTCATTTTCCTCTTTTTAGATATCACTGCAATGTCATCTATCTTGTCATCCGTATCTTTAAGCACCTCATCTTTCGGAATGTTTGAAAAAAAGGATGATATTTTCTTTTGTGCATGATTTGCATTGTGAGCTGGACCATTCTATAATCAACAATAATAAATAATCAAAGTGTCAGACGAACGTCGCGAAGGGCAGTAAACACAGAATTCAAATAGCAATTCTCGAATGAAATTATCGTCGATGTATAACTGTAACGTTTCTCATTACTTATACTCATTTATTTACACACTTTACCTTTTTGTGCGACCGATTTGTTTTCTTCATTTTTAGTTGAATACTTTACGGTATCGCTGGTGCATCACAGAAATCTGTGATATCCGTGATTTAAAGTTATCGTTGACAATCATCGACAATGACGATGACCATTTCGCGCGCAAATTCTACCTGGGTTTACTTGATAATGAGATGGGAAAACCATGATGATCTGAGAACGTGAAATCACGGAGCCCCCGGTGGAGGCGCCATAGACCCTGCACGATGATAGCGTGAGGTCACGGAGGTCCCGGTGGTGGCGCCATTGATCACGTGGGGTGAGAGAGGGGGTCACGGAGCCCCCGGTGGAGACGCCATAGACCCTGCGCGGTGAGAGCGTGGGGTCACGGAGCCCCGGTGGAGGCGCCATAGACCCTACACGGAGGCCCCGGTGGAGGCACCTTTGATCACGTGGGCTGAGAATGTGGGGTCACGGAGCCCCCGAAGCATGCTGAGAGACCCCGTGTGTGTGAGATGTATGATGTACAATTAGAATTTCAACGATTTATAAATAAAAATACACACGGCTGAACTCAACGATAAATTTATTAATAAAATTATTTACAAAACGTAGGATCGATAAATTAAACATCAAAACTGAACATCTGAAATAATCAATAATGGATTAACAAACTTCTATATTCAAAATTAACGCGCAAAACTACAATCAAGTCCCGACATACATATTTATTTATCGTGTATATCTTATATGACGGATATTGTTTGGAATTTATACATATGTTTATGTTTATATATTTTAAATTTTATATTAAATATTTAAATAAATAGATAAAGTATAGCATTGTATTTTATTGTCTCTCAACGCAGAAACAACTTGTGTGTTGGGCAGAAAGATTTCTAGGGAATTTTTCAGACATCTTTCCTTCATCTATGGCGTCGATATTTGATGTATAAGAATCTTCTTTGAATAACAGTTCTCTAATTAAATTTATTATATACAGCGTACATTGACAAAGCAGTTATATACATCAAATACAATGTTAACTAACATGATTTGGTTGGCTTCTGCATATTACTGAAATACGCCTAGTTTTTGGTACATGCTGTCCTTCGTAATACGATTCTTCATTTTTTAAAATTTCGTGATTGTAATTATACCTGGCTGCGCCTCTATAAAGTAAAGATTCTTAATAAGATGTTATATATTTATAAACAGAAAACTACTTATACCTCATTATATATAAAGATCTTTGTGGCAACAGAAAATCTTCCTTGTATACTGTTTCATTTCCAACCATTGTCAGTCTCATTACACTGTCACTTAACAAGCTCAAACCAGCAATAATTTCTCCACAAAACTAGAATATATGAAAACTATTAACCTTCATCTACACATAAAACTAATCACTGTAGTATGTACCCTAATACTGTCAACGTGCGGTTTTATCCATCCTTCAGCTGCTAGGTCCAAAATATGTATCAGTGGAAGTTGAAGCATTCCCTTAGTAAAAGCTTTCTCACGAATTCTGTTTATTATTTTTATGTTATTTTCATTCCACTGCCTCCTTTCTGTCTCTCTGTAAGCATGTATTGCCTGCAATTATTGAATAATAAGTGAATGAAATATTAATGGAACTTAATGAAAAGTGTACTAACATCATCCCAATGTGCCTCTTCGTATCGAAGTCTCTTCATATAAGGATCAACTTCTTCTAGTAAAGATTTTTCCTCATCAACAGAGATAAAATTTGGAATAATTTGCATTGTCTTATGAAGTTCTTTCCAATTCTCTAAATCTTCATCAATTTTATTGCATAAGACAGTTGACCATGTGAAATGCCTTACACTGTAGGAATTATGGGTTCTCCTCAAAAGACTGGTCAACAGGTGAATCTTGAGACTCATGTTGGTTCCTGATTGCTTTGTCCAAATAGAGGTTAAAGGCACTGAAAGTGTGAATGGACCGACATTTAATTAACCCTGGCGCAATACAAGATTATATTCACTTTATCATTCATATATCTGTATGCACGAATGTCTGATTTATTTAAAAAAAGCGTCAATAAAAAGTATATACATGAACGCTCGAGTTACTTAAGAGGGACTAATGTATGCAATCTTGACGGAGCAATTACTTTTTCATTCTTACGAATAATGCGGTAAAGAATTGTGCCGTTTACTGATATAGTCAATAAAATTCGGACAAATTATATTATGCGAACCATATGTGGAAGTAGGGGAAAAATGAATAGATTTCGACGATAATCAAATTATGAGGGTTATATTTCTGCCAGAGCGTCACTTTTAATCTACAAACAGTTTTTATCGACCACGGTTTTATCTTTCATAATAAAACTAGATCGTTTTACTATACAGATTCCGGTATCAAGCTTGCGAATGCGGATGTTGATCATGAAATTGTTATGAGCATTTTAAGTCATGATTTCGACGGGGATCAAAGATGCATTGGCTTCTACAGCCTCAATTTGCACGGCTTTACAATTTTTAGCCGGCGTGTAAGTAAAAAAATTCGAATTAAACGTTTCATCCGATCTTGCTTGATAAATCTCACAAATTTGCAACGTGTTTTATTTACATTAAACGTTTTACAAAATAAGCTGTCGAATGTGTTTCAGATTGGTATGCAGAAAGATCATTAAAAATGGATCAACAGGCAACACCTCAGCCTTGGCATTTGTAACATGTTATACATCGTAAGTATAAACTTGTGTGAAGTACATTATTACTTATGTACGTGTGTACATCAAATAACATATGTTACAGATGTGTTCTATGGATAAGATACAGTATGCTTATTGAAGACAGATTCATATTATTAGTGAATATCTTTGGATCAATACTACAAATATCTTATGTTTACGTGTTTATTTTGTATAGTGTAAAGAAATTTAAAATTATAAAACAAATGATAGTAGCAACTTGTTTTCTCGGAGCTGTATACTTTTATAGCTTTTACGAGGAAGACAAAGCATTATCTGCAAAGTATGTTGGTTCTCTTAGCTGTACAGTAACAGTATTATTCTTTGCCTCCCCTTTAATGATGATGGTAAGTTTTCATAAGGTCTTTATATTACTAAAGTAAAAAGTGACCGTTCAACAGAATTAATGAAATATAATGTTTCCTAGGCACACGTGATAAAGGTCAAAAGTACGGAAAGTTTACCATTTCCAATTATAATGGCTTCGTTAATTGTTTCCTCTCAGTGGTTTGCATATGGTTGCCTTCTCAATGATCCTTTCATACAGATACCAAACTTCTTAGGCTGTGTATTGTCTGCGTTCCAGCTTTGTTTCTTTGTGATTTATCGAAATAATCAAGTCACCGAAGCTCATCTCATATGACAGTAATTGTTTCTCATAATTTATGTGAAGCAAATGTAACATGATTTATATTGCGACTAAGAAATATATTTTTCAGATTGCTATTGGTTTTTTTTTAAACAAATTCTTTTTACCGCCAAAAATAGTACGAAGTCCTGCTGTATGGTGGCGTTTTTATCGATCTAGGAACTTTTTAACATTCAAAAAATTCCCTAGCTCTACAAGAAAAAATCGATTTACGTTAGAAAATATATTAATGTTAAACAATACATTATTTTTATAAGCACAACAACAAGTTAATTGTAAAAACGATTTTACTTATAAAAGATGTGCTATTTCATTTGCCTGCTTGTTCATCAATAATTTCTATACTCACCGATTTATACCGTGACAAATAAATTTATCGATTCTTTTGCTCATCATTCGATTTTTCAAAGCTCTTTCAAAACTCTTTCCTCTACATAAACAAAGTAATCGTTCGCTAATCTGAAGAACGAGTAGTTCGCTTGAGCATAGTATTAGTCACTTTTTTCTTCGAAATAACGATGATAAAAGGAATTTGAAATCCCGTAAAACACTTCTTGTGATTAAAAAAATTATCAGATTCAATGTAAACATACTCGGAGGAAAAAACTGATTATTTATTCCTTCCCTTAGGAAAATTTGTTCTCGGGCGGAAGTCGAGCGGAGAATTTTCCCGACATATTGGTTGTAACGGGGAGCCTCGGGGTAGGTTACGATTGGCAGGACTGACTGCTAAGCGAAGAGAAAGAGGTGCGGTGTTGCGTGACTGGCTGCGGGACGATCGAGAGAGCGTGTGTGTTTGTTGTGTTGTACAGATTTTTATTCTCCTTTCACGGGAAAGAAACGACCGCACGCTTGGAAGAAGCAAAATGTCGTCGTACATCCAGGTCGCGGAGGACGAGAGCGACGAGCCGATAGAGCTACCGACGGAGGACGATAGCACACTCTTATTGACCACCGTGACCGCCCAATTTCCCGGAACGTGTGGCCTGAAATACCGCAATCCGGAGTCACGGACGATGCGCGGGATCCGTCTCGTTGACGGACGTCTTCATCCGCCTGAGAATGGATGGGGCAAAGCAGTTTACTTTTGTGTCTTTCCAAAAGGTGCTTATTTCAAGACAAATCCATACCATCCCCATTTTTCTTGTGCTCTCTCTCTCTCTCTCTCTCTCTCTCTCTCTCTCTCTCTCTCTCTCTCTCTCTTTTTTCCCTTACCTCTCTCCCTCCTCCTCTTCTCTCCCTCCCCTTACGCTATGTTTCTGTCTCTCTCGCACTCGCTCCACGACTCCCAAATACTAATGCTACGATAAGACCAACTACCGTGCATTTTGTTATATCGATTGACGCAAATTTGGAGTAAGCTGCCTTTGCTTCTGCATCCTCTTTGCGTTCAATGTGACTTCGATTCTTTATTTTCTTTTTCCCTTTTGGCTACACACGTTCGATATTCTATTTTCGTCCGTGGAGCCGCGTCGAATTTAGTTTTTTCTGGAGAATTTTTTAACTACACTGATAATTGGTCTTAATCGATTCAATAGTTATCTTTGAAGTCCAGTACATGTGTTTGTGTTTGTAACTGTGTTTATAATGTTTGTTTGCATTTTTCAAGGAAATTACCTTTTTTTTTTTCAATATTTTACTTATCCGAATTTCATTTACGGAGGGAACACGAGAGCCTGTTTCTGCTGGTGCATGATTTTACCATCAAGAAATTATTCTATTTTGTATAATGTTAATAGCGGTAGATCTTGTTCTTGTTAAACGAGATCGACATAAGCACATGTTAATAGAATTTGTTGATGCTGATGATTGAGAGATACGGGTAATGATTAAGTTTGTGTAACGATGCTTCCAATGCACAGCTATAGTAATATCTGTGTGTATGTATCTATATAAATGTCTATTAATACCGAACAAAGCTTATTTGCATCTGTACAAACGTATATACATGTGTATAGCTTTGAACTTGAGTGTTTAATACAATTTTACCGATATATGTTACAGACATACATATATGAATATATCACATAAGCACGCGTGCACATACACACACACACACACATTGACACTTAATACACTGATGTAGAAGTTTTTTTTTTTATATCATTTTGAATAATAACTATTTGTACTGGATTTCTGTATTCTTCTCTTTTTTTTTTATTATTTTTATCGCAATTACGTTTCTCTTCTATTATTATATCTTTTCAGAGAACAAACGTAAATCTGATGACAATTTGGAAAATTCCACAGCTAAGACTAAAAGAATGGAAACAAAGTTGCGTTGCACAGACTTGATTGTACTTGGTTTACCATGGAAAACTACCGAACAGAACTTGCGCGAGTATTTTGAAACATTTGGAGAAGTGCTCATGGCTCAGGTAAATTTTCGTTTTTTGATTTACGGAGGTACTTCTCTTCCAATATTACACGCATTATTAAATGTCTCTTAATATTGATTTAGGTGAAGAAAGACGCAAAATCTGGACAAAGCAAAGGATTTGGATTTATTAGATTTGGAAGTTATGAGTCCCAATTAAGATGTCTTGCCCAAAGACACATGATAGATGGTAGATGGTGTGACGTCAAGGTTCCCAACAGTAAGGTAAGAGCATCGATATGTTCAATAACAAACGTTCATTGTTTCCTCAGATATCTTCAAGTAGTTCCCAAATGCTTAAGTACTTAACATTCGTTTAATATTGAGATATATATATACATATTTATGTACATGCAAGTCATAGACCTGTACACAACTTTCCTATGCACTGATAAGTTACATCATTAAAATCTGATCATTTTACATTTATAGCAAAATAATAATTTGTTCGATTGTATGTTTCGTTCAATTTTGGGTGGATGTTATGGGTGCAATAAAATTGTCCATAATGTATATTATACGTCTGAAAATCCGAGAACAGGTTTGCTTGCTTTATTACCATCGATGGAGTAGGGAAGAAAGTAACATTTTCATAGACTTTATATAGTGCTTGCATAGACATTATATAGTTGTGTACAGGTCTATGGTGCATGCAATAGAATGTTAGTTGAACCGTATACTACAGAGCGAATCGCAAGGAAAAAAAGAACAATTGAAAAGTCTGACTATGGTACAAACGTAAATAATTACATTGCCGTGGAAATTCATTTTCTATTTTGAATCGTTGCACAAGACAAATAAGACAATTGATTTCCGCTTATAAATCTCTTAACGGTCATCTTTAAATACTTCTTGAGAAAACGTATATTGTGGTATAAATAGGTGAATGTGTAGTCGCTTTAAGTGGTAAATTTATAAGGGACCAGTTGATAAATGTGCGTGAATGTTTACATGAGTGTTGTATGATGCAAAGGAGAAGTATGGATGCGTGATCTTGTAAATAACATGGTGTGTGTTTGTGTCATTCAATAGTGTGGCATTTTTTTTTCAAGTATGCTATGAGAGTACCACTGTCAGGTTTAAATAGGGACGAATGACTTACGAATATACATACCCAGTTCACATGAAACATAGGAGAAGAGAACTCGAGAGACACACAGAAAGGTGCTGTTTGATAGATTTTCGGGTTTCGGTTACATGCGAATTTCTACGGAATTTAATGTAACGTTCCAAGTGTTAGCTTGCTAGAGATATCCAAACCAAGTGTCGTCGCGCCACTAACTCTGAAACGAATCAGGGAGATCACAAGTTTTTTCGTTATCGAAAACGTATGTACAACTAATAATGGGAGTGAATTTTAAACGACAGACTACTCGAGAGTATCGCTAAATGTGTATCCTCATTTTCGAGACGAGAAAAAACATTGTAATGGGTATGGTTTGCGTGACAGTGTGTGGAATTCGAAGAGACACTTGATTCACATGCGGTGTGCAACTATTACGGATTGTCGTACTTGAAGTGAGCTCGGAATTTTTGCGAAACGTAACAGAACCGGAGAATCTCGCGTTTAGAGTCTGAACAAAGATTATACGTCGGTCAGAAGAACGATTAGAATCTTTTACGTGATTAATGAGTCAGTTTTATTTTTTTTTTTATTACCGAACGCTTGTAAGACAGTGTCTAGTATGATGGAGAATAGCGTACCAGTTCCGTGGATGAATAAAGACGTGATTGGGTGCCGTGTATGTCTTCTCAGTCGGGTAGCTCGAGTATAGATTAGGAATCACACGTTAGCCTTTAAAAAACGTATGACAACGTGTTATTTATGTCTCTGGTATGTGGAATGAAGAAAAATAGGAAATACTCCAAAAAAAAAAAAAAAAAAAAAAAAAAAAAAAAAAAGAGAGTGCGTACATGTGTGTCAGACAAACAAACAAAACAAAAAAAAAATTATACAGATAAAATTGTATGTGATTGTCGAGGGCTGGTGTATCTGGTTGCAGAATATTGATGGCTTAATGATGGCTCGTCAGTATGACACGAGCAAACACAATGAATGCTACCGCCCTATACCGGTTCACACGCCGAGTAGTCGACGGGTGCCTGTGACGAAACCGTATATCAACGTAAACACATCCGAGGCTGCTAACGCACCTAGGTACGACTCGGAGTCGTACGATTATAAAACAACCCATTACCCGTCGTACCCGCCGAATTATCCGTACGACGATAACAATAAGTACAAGTACGAGGCTGGTCAGAATTACAATGCTGCGTACGAGAAACAGAGCAATTATCCGGCCTACGAGGATCCCGGGTACGATACACGGAATTACATGGTACAACAACAGCAGCAGCAGCACGGGACCGGCGGTGCCGCGAATCCACCGGCCAGTAGTTACCCGTCCGACGCTGAATACGCCGCCGCAAGATACCCGAACTACGAAGGACGTGGCGGCGGTGGTGCTGCCATTTATCCGGTGATGGAGAATCCGGATTATACTGAGAAAGCACGATACAATTACGGTTACGATCGTAACTATTACGAGGGCGACGGTCGTTACGCGTCCCCGGAGTGTCGATACCCGTTGGACGTCCGGTATCCGGACGCCAGACACGGCGACAATAGAATACCGAGTGACGGTCGCGAGGCTGATTGTAGATATCCCGTGGACAATCGTGAAATGGACAGAAGATACACCGTCGACGGTAGGGATCCAGAGGGTAGATACACGGTCGATAACAGGGAAGTCGACGCCAGATACCCTCCGGACGGTAAGGAGGTAGACGCCAGATTTCCGGACACAGCAAGATACCCGGCTAAAGAGAACTATTACGATCGTTATTACAAGCACCGGCCGTCGAGGGATCACCATGTCTCGGACACGTCAAGATACTGATGAGTCTTGTTACTATCCGTAAATACATAAGTCACGATTCAACGGGAATAGACGTTCGCTATCGAATCGGCTTTTTCCGAAGAGAAAAGGGAAAGCAATGGTACGGTCTTACGGAACCATTTTTACTCCCTAAGAGCGTGGACGTATTGGAAATGAAATCGGTAATGGATTATAGTGTAGATTTGAATAGACACAAGTTAGCTTTTTATACTTTGGATAATAGAAATATTGAGATACATTCCTTAGGTCAAGATCTTCACCTTGGCACTTGTCATTCTTCTTTTGAATAACTAATCGGTTGTTTATACCCCTGTAAGTAGTTTGTATTACAAATGTTATCCGTTGTTCGTCTTGGTTATATATGAATTGTGGATTCGTAGTCCAGGTGTCTTTTGAAATGGTAATGCCTAGAAGTCGATTCGAGAATAGAAAGATAGCTGAATGTGTATTCCGGTTGACTCGTGATCTCTGTTACAAATAGCATATATATATATACCATATAAAATGAAAAATACTGTCTGATATTAGAGATAGCTTCGAAATAACTGTCTACATTTTAATCAACTATTGTGCTTATTCAGTTTTAAGATAATGTAATATATATATATATATATACAGCATGAGATTTTACATCGATTATAAAGAGAAAGGACAACATTGTACAGAAATTTTGTGCATGGATTTAAAAGAGGCCATAGTGCTTAAGTGTTGTTATATATACATACATACATATTATATATATAATTCACGGAGATCAAGTGTAAATTGACCAGCCGAGACACCTTTTTTTCCGAGATATCGAACAACTAAATGAATTGCGTATATGAACAGAATTTTCTATAAAACTTGACGTTAGTGCAGATTAGTCCTTCTCTGTTTCTTAGTACGATCTCTATTTACGCAATCAATCGCTCGCGGACATTTTACATACGACTGTTTGATAACGAAAAGAAAAAAAAAAGTGAAGAAAAAAAATCAAAAAAATTGCATAGTATTTAACTCTCACTCTTTTTAACAAGCGGACGTCAAGTATCACGTGTAATTACAATAATAATGTGCACTGTACGCAAGTTTTATCGGACAACAAAGAAACAAAAAAAAAAAAAAGCAAAAAAAATTCACTGTGAAAATCTGTTGTACATGATTGATTGATTGTGCGTTTGTGCGTAGGAGGGAATGATTCAGCAAGTACCCTGCAAGGTATTCGTGGGACGCTGTACAGAAGACCTAACCGCTGATGATCTGCGCGACTATTTCTCCAAATACGGCGAAGTGACGGACGTGTTCATCCCGAAACCATTCCGTGCATTTTCGTTTGTTACTTTCTTAGATCCCGAGGTGGCCCAGTCACTGTGCGGCGAGGATCACATTATTAAAGGGGTCTCCGTGCATGTGTCGAACGCCGCGCCGAAATCGGAAGGGAACAATAAGAATTTCAATAATCAAGTGAACTCGAACATGCGTAGAGGCGCCCCCGGCGGCGGACCGGTCGAGAATAACGTGCAGGGTAACTATCAGGGTAACCGTTACATGGGACATTCAGGTAACAATATGGGCCCGAACGGCTGGAACAATCCCGGGAATCGCGGGAATCTGGACATGCCGAATCTACAAGCGTTGGGGATCACCGGACAGAATAACGGAGGCGGCGGCGGCGGCGGTATGTCGAATCCCCTGGCGATGGGCGGTCTGAATCTGTCCGCGTTACCGGTCAATCCGGCCCTGGTGGCCGCCGCGTTGAACCAAGCATCTTGGGGCTTGATCGGTAACTTGCAGAATCAGGGAAACGATCAGGGATATTCGAACCAGCCTGGCCCACCTGGCCAGCCGCCTTCCGGGAACAATAGCATTGGTAACAGTGGCAACTCTGGCTTTCTCAGTTGGATGAATCAGGGTGGTAGTGATGGTAATACAGGCAATCCTGGAACAGGTGGACCAGGCCCGAATAACCCGAACGCGTCCCAAGGTGCTTGGCAGAATCATCCGGGGCAGCGTGATCAGAAGTCGAACACCTTTCTCAAGTACGAGTAGACGTCTGCGTTCAATCAACCGCCACCCTAACCAACCCCCCTCCTCCCCGGGACGGTGATGTTTCTAGAGGAGGAAGAAATTTCGGCGGCGAATCCGTTCCTTTGATCCTGACGCATTAACGCACCAGCGACCGAGAGAACGAACAAGGGGGAGAGATGGTCTAGGCAACCTCCTGTTTGTAGTAGGTACAAATTCCATGATTTTGTAAGAACGACGTACGACGACGATGAACTTGGGCCTCTGTCGCGATGAGGAACGATTGACGGGGCTGTAGGTAGTGTTGGGTAGAATTATTGTCAACTCTGACAAAGTGTCGTAGGAGAAGGGGCCTCCTATCACTTGGTAAATTTATATAAAGTACTGAAATAAATGTTACGAATGTTAACTTGGCATAAATTTCAGTAACTCCAGAGACCAAGTGGTAGGATGTCTTTCCTCTTACGCCGTAGTGGCGGGATAAACAAATTGGTATGCATGAAAGTACATTTGAGGAGAAGTTCCTCGCGCTGCAATATAGCAAGAGTCCACTGTATATACCTGAGGGAAGAAGAAAATGTTTTCTTTATTATTTCTCTCTCTATCTCTCTTTTCGTTTCCTTCATCCTGATATACAAATATTTCATAACGATCGTGTTTTTACTGTTAATTGTCTAGACCCAGCGGTACCCCCCCTCCCCTCCCCCTTCTTTTTATCTTTTGCACGTCACACACACTGTACTGTATTATCCCCGATCCTGTCACGCGTTGTTCTTTGTACCGGGGGAGTTAAAGATGCAGACAAGACGGTGTATATTAGGCGCAATTCCGTTTTTTCCGCGCGAGGATAAAACAGGCAAGGAAGGGACGGATAGCTTCGATCATCTGAAACTGTGCATACTATTATCGTATGATCTCATTTCAAGCGTGCGGTCTAACCAACTCATTAAAAGAAAGAAAGAAAACAAAGTAACAAGATAATAAATACTGTACTGAGATGTTTATGAGAATGAGGTTGATGAGTGAGAATTATACATATATATAAATATATATGTATATATTATATACATATATATGTATAGGATACATAGATAATGATGATGATGTTGGATGAATGTGAATGTGCTGTAGGATGAACAAGAACGAGATTTGTTGTTGGGGAGTACGTATATATGTGCTTACGTTTTTATTTAAACTTTCATACCGTGTGCTTAATGTGTATAACTGAGAATTTAAATACAAAATCTCGTCGAGTCGACAGAATGCGAGAGTTTTCCTGGCTCTTCTTCGAGCGTGTCGTGCGTGAGATCACCGGACTTAATCTTGGATCATTTTTCGTTTTGTAACAACGCATCCAGCGTCGTTCATTTCCATTTTTTTATATATTTTTTTTAATTGCGTCATCGGCGTCAATCTGAGAACAATATTACCATCGTATAAGAGGAAACGAATCCGAGACCGACCTTGAAAGAAAACATATGTGCATAATATATTCTTTATCGGTTCGCTCAGAATACAAAAAAAGGGGGGGGGGCAACAAAGCTTCTAAGATTATTGTCGTGTTGGATATTTCTTACGAAAGTATGTTCTTTTTTCGGTATGACCGCGGTTTGCTTCTTGTTTATATATTTTGCTGTTTGCTTTTCAGTACCATTGTAATCGCTAATTACAAGCAAGACTGGGCAGAGTGTCTGGTCGCGTGTTCTGGTTAATTCCGTCGTGTCTTCTTTTGATTCAAGCGGAGAGAAATGTGCTGAAGTGTTGATGATGATGTTCCGTTTCTGTGTGTTGGAAAACGGAGGATGCATGGGGGAATGGGACGAGTGTGAAAGACGACGCAGTTGCATACAGATTGATCGCAGCTACCCGAGGGATTTAAAAAATGCCATTAACTCTTAGAGAAATCTCGCCTTAAATGGAGAATAAAAGGATTGTAAACGTTTTTTCTAGCGTGTGCACACGACCGACTTTATGTGAGATAAATAGATATGTGTTTTACAGTTGAGTATGATATATATATATGTGGATGATGATGCGTTTAAAAAAAAAGGTCTTCATTGAGATTGGTTTGCGTGTTTGTGAAAGGTGGCATTTCGTAATCGACATTTTTATTAGTTCACCTGCGAGACTCTGAAACGATAACTAGATGTGTTTGTGAGTTAATAATCTTCCAACCGATGATGAGTCCAGTATTGGTTTCGCGAAGAATCTAAACCAGCCATTAATTATATCATTCGCGATGCACGGATCGTAGTCAATAAATCCTCTTGTACATTAGTTGAAGCTGAAAGAAAAAAAGAACAGTGCATAAAAATCTAGGTGAAACATTTTAAACTATTACACGTTTGAGAAAAAAAAAAAGCAAGAACTACATTATCGTAGAGGTCTCATTAATGATTCCTATTTGAGATGTGCATACCATTTTCCACTTGTAATCGGTAAACATTACCTTATGGATTGTAAAGAAAATCGTAGACGCTGGGTGATCCTCGAGTATTCAGCTGATAGAAGTGATTTTGTACGCGATATTGACGAACAGAAAAGTCAAGTACTTGAATATTAAAGGACCACCCTTTCATTCACACACCAATGCTTTTACCAATATCAAATTTTCTTATGCCAGGAGAATCGTTGTTTTCCCTTGCTTTCACGTAACGTGTATAGGAAACTCATATTATAATATCTCTCTCTCTCTCTCTCTCTCTCTCTCTCTCTCTCTCTCTCTCTCTCTAGATTGGATTGTTTTTTTTTAACCTCACGTGTCTCTTTTCTCTCAGTGTGTGTGTGTATGACGGTTGAATGTATTTGTTAATGGTCGTCTCAGAACTACAGGCATGAAAGTTTTTAATCGAGAAGTGATTTTGCTGTTTGATGATATGAAGCATTAGTAAAAACTACATACATATATATATATGTATCTGATTGCAAAAGAGAAACAAAGGAAACTCTACGTGTTGATACATACATATACATATATATATACATGGTGAATGAGTATAATAATTGTGAGGCAAGCGATAATTAATTGCAAAAAAAAGTAATATTTTATGGATGGGACACAGTCGTTTAATGAATGCCTGATATATACTATATATATATATATATA